TGGAATTCAAGGTTTACATGCTGAATGTAGTTAGTTTGGACCCTCTGGCTATGTTTGGAAATGGCCTATGTTTGGCCCTGCGGATGGACCCTCTGAATGTATTTTAATTCAGAGGGTGATGAAGTTCTTCTGAAAAACATTTGATTTCTTTTTCTTTCTTATTTTTCTTTATTCTTCTTCTTGCAGCCTTAAAAATTATCCAGAGAGATTAATTCTCCCAGTTTCCATTTCAGTTTCCATTTTGTTACCACTCATGTGGCTTGCTGGACAGTGGATGGCATAGAATCATAAATTATATAAAATATTGACAACTGTAACCGAGAGCCAAACGATAAAAAAGGGAGGAGATCTAATGTAAAGAGAAGTCAACAAATTGTTGTTATTCCAGAGCTGTGACACAATATGAGACATGATTTCAGCCTTTAGTAATACTGTCAGAAAAGAAGAATGTCCTTCACTGCAGCTTTTTTTTTTTTAGGGACTTGTACATGTTGCCTGAAATGCTGTTACTTAGTGTAGTAAATCACAATTTTAATAGGCTCACTGAAATAGTGAGGATTTGATGAATCGACGCCTCTGTAAGTTTCATTGATTCAGTGGCCATACTCTAGTAGTAATTTACTACATTAACCAACAGGTTTTTAGCATAATGTTCAAAGCTTGGTTTGCCCAAATTCTGAAGACCTCATAAAGGTATAAAAGCACAATATTGTATTCAGGACAGTAATGCTACACTTTGGTCTTCATTAGTTCACACAGTGAAATGCAGAAAGCAGAGCTGTTCTCTAACAGTTCATAGCATGCTGTCTTACAGATATAATTTCCCAGCCTACCAACTGTCAACTGTTATCCATTAGCTGCATTATGGGAGAGAATGATGTTCATGCAGGCTGGAAAATTCCAGATGAGGAAAGATTAATCATCATCATCATCATCTTAGAACTGCAGAGATGGAAGGGATCCTATGGATCAAGTCCAGTCCCTGTAAGGGAGACACATTGGGAATCAAACTCTCAGCTTCTGGCTCCTCAGAACTATCCTTTGTTCATCAGTAAACTCACCGTACCTGCAAAAATAGATCACTCTGGTCTCTCTAGAGCAGTGATCCTCAACCCTGGGCCTCCAGATGTTCAATCACTCTGGTCTCTCTAGATGTATTATTTGAATCAGAGGATCCCAAAATTGGGTAAGCCAGGTGTTACTGGATTGCGACTCCCAGAAACCCCAGACAGCATAGCTGGTGTTGAAGGCTTCTGGGAGCTGTAGTCCAAGAACATCTGGAGGCCCAAGGTTGGGGGACACTGCTCTAGAGTATTATTTGAATCAGTGGATCCCAAAATTGGGTAAGCCAGGTGTTACTGGATTGCGACTCCCAGAAACCCCAGACAGCATAGCTGGTGTTGAAGGCTTCTGGGAACTGCAGTCCAAGAACACTTGGGTTACCCAAAGTTGGGAACCACTGATCTGAATCATATACAGGAAAGGACTAGATGGTTATTCCACCTCTTTTTTTTTCCATTTCAGAAGATTTCCATATGGAGGCCCAAGGTTGGGGGACACTGCTCTAGAGTATTATTTGAATCAGTGGATCCCAAAATTGGGTAAGCCAGGTGTTATTGAAATGCGACTCCCAGAAACCCCAGACAGCATAGCTGGTGTTGAAGGCTTCTGGGAACTGCAGTCCAAGAACACTTGGGTTACCCAAAGTTGGGAACCACAGATCTGAATCATATACAGGAAAGGACTAGGATGGTTATTCCACATCTTTTTTTTTTCCATTTCAGAAGATTTCCATAGAAACCTTCATTAACCTAATGCTAGCCTATAGAATCTTGGTCAGAAGTAGACAATTTTGCTGCACTCTGGTACAGAGACCAGAAAATGCATTTTAGGCTCTACAACAGGAGCAAGTAATTGTGGCTCTACAGTTGTTTTTAGCCAACAAATCCCATAATACCTCACTGTTGGCAATGGTGGCTTGGGTTGATAGAAGTTGTAGTTGAAAAGCAACCAACAGGTCACAGTGGCCTGCCATTGCTCTATAGGAAATTCAGTGAGTAGCGCAGGTTTTGCAGTTTTGGCATTTGACCTAGAAGCAAACCTGGAGCTGTGCAAACAAAACTGATCCCAACCTTTCCAGTCTTTTAGTGGAGCAAGGCCTCACAGGGGTCAAGGTAATGGGACATTTTGATTAGTAAGGGCAGTATGATAATTGGCCACTCTGCTAGCACTTCCTTATTCCTCCCAAACCTTACAGAGATGGTGGGGCAATGGATTTTCCCAGCAACGTTACGTTGTTGTGAGCGATTCCTGTTCATGCAACGTATTTTTGGGGCTGCTTGGTCTTGAATGGGAAAGTTATGTTAACTTTGCAAAAGGCCTGATCCTATGGAGGGGAACTCAAGGTGACCTTTAGCATGAAGTAGGTGCTCTCTGTCACATCCTTTTTGGACAAGGACATTTCACCAAGGCAAGAGTCTGGTTTGATCAACATCTTATCTCAGTCTGCACTGTTCTAGTGAGCTTTTTTTCACAGCCCTGTTACTTGGTTTCGCTGATAGCCTGGAGGCATCTCCGACTTTTAGAGAGTCCTGTTCAAAATCCTCACAGCTTCATTCTGCAGTCTTTTGATAGTGATAATGATTTGATGGAAGAGAACACAGCTTTCACATGGACCAAGGATTACTGTCCTCACCCCAGATACAACTTGTTGCCCTTGCATTTTAATTAGCTGATACTTTAAAATGCAACACAAAAGATCTTAAGGGAAGTAGAAGTTTGTATTTACTGGATTGGGGAATGTGCTCAATTTTTATGAAAACAGGGCATCACAACAGACACAATTCCATCACCTTCAGAGGGGCTTGGCCTAATGTTTTTATTTCTCTACTCCAACACCCATGTTATAGATCATAATATTTTCAAAGCTCAACTTGTTTTTATTTGGCAATTAACACCAACAGTGGCAGTGGATGCTCTCTTGCCAGTCAGCATGACATAAGATATAAAATGAGTTGCAAGTCTCAGTGAAATGTCTTAGCCACAATTAATTGGGGTCTTTATGTGCTGGCAGCCCCAACTTTTGCATGCATACTAAGTCTTGCCAAATATAATGGTGCTTACTCAAAAGTAAATGTGTGTGGTATTACCCCTGAAGTATATTAAGATTTAGCTGGACTGGAGTCAACATTATCAGGCTATACTTTGTAATGATTATCGAGTCCCCCACTTTATTTCCTTTCAAAAATACTGAAAAGTATATGTTTGAAAGCTGTTTAGTAGTTAATCACATTTTTAAAGGTAAAACTGAAAAAAATTGAGTTGTAAAATCCAGAAACATGATACAAAATGTTGGCAATGGAAAGCAATTTATTTATTCAAAATATTTTATACCACCTTTCTAGACAGGCATCTGAGGTACAGAGATAAACGAATCTTAATACAAGCAAGTAAGGTAGATATATTTTGTTGCCACTGACTGAGAGGTAGTTAGCTACAGTATGGACTATAAAATATATATTTTTAAAGATTTCACTGAGTGTTGTGTTAGGGTTTTTGTTTGTTTGTTTGTCATGTAAAGAGAAAGAAAAGCAGAGTCAAGATTGCCCTTAACAGATAGATGTTAGTTCTGCTTCTTCCTTTTGATGGACAAACCCTGTATTGTAAATAAACGCGCCAGTGAATTGTTTCTGTGCTTATTCTTAACATAGCCAAAATGTTGTCATCATTGCACAAAAGGGAAGTATAACCAGGTTTAGAGACCCCCTAAGGTTTGCAGAAACTCACTGGGGAGTGACGGACATCTCACATACCTGGAAAACCCTATTAGGGTGGCCGTACATCAAAAGTAATAACAGTAAAGGTTTGCAGAAGCACAGAGCAATAGGAGAGAGTTGAATGGGGAAAAGAGCATTAATCAGTGTGAACTGTCATGCTGGGGAAAATGGGCATTTGTGAGCCAAGGGGAATGGAACAAAGTGTCCTTGGCTGCCTGATGGAGCCTTGAACAAGAGAATCTCACACTGCAACATTTTGCTTCAGGACTGATCTAAAAACAAACCCAGAGAAGCCAATATAATGCAGGCCATTGGCATAATCAAGGCTCAGGAACGAAACCCCTACTTTTCCAAAATGGAAGAGAAAGGCATGCTACTTTCAGTACATGACAGAGTGCTCCACCTCACCCAGTAGTATCTATCTTCCTTTCCTTCATCCCTCTACATTTTCCCATGCTCTGTTGAAATTTAAATTGCAAACTTTTTGTGGCTGAGGACCTTGTTTTTGCTTGTCTGGCTTTCTAAAGAGGGGGCATATAGATTGATGCTTCTTTGTACATAAAAATGGAGTGATGATGGAAATCATATTTCCTCCATCTAAGCAGCTATGCTGTGCTAAACAGAATTTTGTGACTGGAGGGAAAAAGAGCTGGACAGCCTGACATTTTGAACAAAGGACCACATTTGGCTTCCATTTCTTGTGCAGCATTTCTAGATTCAGTCTCTTCCTTTCCTCCAGACAAGTCAATAGCTTGGTTTACCTACTATGGTAAACCGACTCTCTTATCGGAACTCGGGGTTCCTGTGAAAAAAGCACTGATGGCTCGTGCTGCCCTATTGCTCCTGCTTGTTGAAGGAATGTCTCAACAAACAAAGGGCCTTCAAAAACCTAGAGCAGTGGTTCTCAATCTTAGGTCCCCAGATGTTCTTAGACTAAAACTCCCAGAAGACTTCACCACTAGCTGTGCTGGCCAGGATTTCTGGGACTAGTAGTCCAAGAACATCTGGGGACCCAAGGTTGGGAACCACTGAGCTAGAGCAGTGGTCCCCAACCTTGGGCCTCCAGATGTTCTTGGACTTCAACTCCCAGAAACCCTGGCCAGCAGAGGTGGTGGTGAAGGCTTCTGGGTGTTGTAGTCCAAGAACATCTGGAGGCCCAAGTTTGGGGACCACTGAGCTAGAGGATTAATCCTAAAACATCTCTTTCCCCCCTTTGTATCTTTTCAAGGGAGAGAAAAGACAAACAGCCAGGTCCTGCTGGGTTGCACATTAATTTTTTCCATGGTTTCTTCAGCTGGTGTAAGATCCTAAGTTGGCCTAAGAACCATGCCTAGTATCCATTGCTTCTTTAGTTGCTCCTGCTACAAGTGGAAGCCCACAGCCAATGATCAGCCCTTGACAAGCCAAAATTCTCTCAAACACTGGAATTCTGTTCTGATTCCTCAAAAGGAACCAGTGACTTCCACATTAGAAGTACTGTGGCTGATGGCATGGCATCTCCCCCATCAGCTCCCTTTCTCAAATCTACTTTCTTTCCTGAATCTGTGGTCATCATTGGGGCACTTTTGCTCCCCATGTTCTCTGTAACAGAATTTTTATTATTCAGTAAAACAGTTGTGATGAGAACATCTTTGTGATGTTTAGGACACTCACCAATAATGTGGGTAACTTAGCCTTTACTGGTAGGAACTCCAGAAGAACACATTACCTGACAAATAACATCCCTGGTTCCTGAAAAATCCACATGCCACAGTCCCGTTGGATGTTTATGTTTGTGGAAGCGGAAACTGCAGAAGTTGTCATGGGTAATTGATTAGCTGCTGCCTGGTGCATGCCTGGCGAGTAGTTAATCAGCTGCAATTAGCCGCATCAACCTCAGTGATTTCTCTTGCATGGGCATAAATATTCAATAGAATGTTGGCCATATTCTCTTTCCTTTGAAGAGGGTTCTTTTCCCCAAAGTTGCAAATGATCTCATTTTAATCTCATGAAAAATCTGAATTAGACCTAGCAAATCTGGAGCCTGCCCTTTCCCACCTTAGACTGAGACAGCAGTGTCCTGTTGCAAAGTGCAGAGTGTGGCTGTTTCAGAGATGTACCTGTGTGCTCCGCTCACTCCCTGGCTCACAGCTGTGCAAGGGTTTTTGTCTGCAGCAGGGCAGTGAACACACTCCTGTGCAAACAGCAGGAAAGATGCAAATATGCACATACCAGATCATTACATGCCTAGAAAAGCAAACAGGTGTTTGGTTATAGTGACCAGCCATGGTAAGTAGTCAGATATTACTCAGGGAGATGTCTGACTGAACAGAGTTTTGAAGACCATAGGTCTTCCCACCAGAACACAAATCATCTGCGATACGCCAGCAGCCGCTTTAACCTCCCTCTGCTGTCTTGCAATGTTGAGTATTGTGTCGAGAGTTTGATGATTTGTTAGGCTGACTAAAATCCATAGGTCAAATAGGCAGGTGCCAGCAACAATCTTAATGTCCAAGATTTTTCAGTCATGCTTCTTTTTGGAAAAGAGACAGAAAGAAACGTATAGTGTGGGGTGTTGTCATATCTGACTCTAGGAACAGCTTGCCAGCACCTCATGCAGAGGTCCCTCAAATTCCCCCCTTGGGATAGCTAAAAGAAAAATGCCAAGAACTGATCCATGGCCTTTCTCCATGGGAAGCACATGCTAAGCCAAGGCAGTTCCTCGGTTGCAAAGTTAGGTTCCGTTTCCACTTTGTGAGCCAAGAAAGGAATGCAAGCTTTACTGGCTGAAAAATGACAAGACACTTGACAGAAAACCTGAGGTATGTATGATGCCTTTGTCAATGTGACTGCACCAAGCCTCTGTCAAATCCCACAAAGTCAAAAGTGATAAAAATATATACTTTCCCCCCCCTCCCCTTGCTGCCAAGTGTCTCTATGGCAGCATGAAAAAGCCTCTCCATTGGGAGTGGGACGCTGCAGTTCAGTGAGTCATAAACAGCAGACAAATGCCACCTAGCACCTTTTCACTCAGCGAGTGTGAGTTCCCCCAGTGGGTCACTGAAGTACCAAGCTCCCCATGCTTTCTACCTTGTCACCCAATCCGGACAGCTCCTGAGGTGGAAGGCACACAGTGGGGAGGGCTGTCGTGGATGCTCCTGTCCCTGCCGTGATAGCAGGAGGGTCCCTTCCAGGCAGCAGCACTAAGCGCAAGCAACGGCGGAACTCCTCGTTCTTCCATGTGTAGAGCAGGGGGTTGAAAGCGGACAGCGAGCAGAAGAGGAGCCAGCTGGCCAGCTGCAGTCCCCGTGGCATTGGCTGGAAGAAAAAGCCCAGCAGGCTTATCCACGCCAGGGGCTGGGTGGCCAGGAGAAATGCAAGGCAGAGGAGCAGCACAGAAATGCTGCTCAGGCGTCGCTGCGCTCGCCGCGGACCATGAGGGGCTGCTGGGAAGGGGAGCTGTTGCAGGAGATGGAAATTGAGGACACTGACCCGCTTGACGCTGCCCCGCACTCTCCTCACAATCCCCATGTAGCAGTGGAGCAGGATAACCGTTTGGCTGAGAACAGCCAGAGCTACGAGCAGACCTGTGTAGCTAGAGCTCTTGCTGATAGTAGCATCTCTAGACTCCTGCTGGCCGGGGAGCCATGTTTGCAGTACAGGGGGCACCAGGGCAAGGAGGAAGGCAAACCCCCAGCTCAAGCCAATCATCCAGGCCGTGTGCTTCCTCTGGTAAACAGCCTGGTATGTGACAGGCGGCTTAGTGATGAGGATGTACCGGTTGAGGGCCACCAAGAGGTGGGAAAGCAGTGACACGATGAGTCCGAGGCCTACAAGCCCAACCCGGAGCAAGCGGTATCCTTCTGAGTGAGCTGTAGGAGAGCCAGCAGGTAAGAGCCCTTGCACTGCTTCCTGTGGCATCCAGAGGCCGCACACACTCAAGTCAGCAATGCAGCCGTTCACAATGAAAGTGTTACTGGTGGTGCGCAGCTTCTTGAAAGTGAAGACTAGATAAATCACCAGGATGTTGGATAAAGTCCCTGAGATGGCCAACAGTAAGTAGATGAGAGACAAAGAGATCCGAGTCCCTACAGAGTCTTCTTCGCAAAGGTGTAAATGTAAAGATCTGGAACTTGAGGTGGTGGTGGAGGAGATGGAGGAGGAAGAAGAAGAATTGGGCATGGTGGCTGTATGCAAATCAAGCTCTTTTGCACTTCCAGGCACTCCTCACCACTGCTCAGATCTGAAGGTGGGTGAGAAGCAGAGCAATGGAGAAATCAAGATCCATTTATTTGACAACATACAACAAAAACGAGAGCAGGGATGGGCAATCAAAACTATCCTAAATGTGCAAGATGTCCAAAAGAACATAGGCAGATATATCCAGAACAGGCAGGGGAAAAAAAAAAAGATCTCATAGATACACACCAAAGTCCTACAGCAAGCCAGATCCAGAGTTCATAATTCCTTTGCCGTTGGCCCAAGGAAAGATATTATGGGGGCTCTTCAAAAAGTGATGTCAGCATCTTTGGAGCCAGCAATGAGATCCCAAAAGATGAAGCCGGGAGATGTGAGGCAGATGTTTGGAAGCGGATGGAAGGCAAGCAGAAAAGAAAGACCCAGAGCATGCAGGGATGCAAACTTACGAATCTCCACCGTAGCAGGCATGAAGTTAGGAGAAAGCAGGGCAGCATGGAGTGCCTCTAAGGCAGACAGGGAGGCAGGCAAGCAGGAGGCAGGAAATTGCCAGGAATCTCAGTGCTGTGATGAAGAGCTTAAAGAGCTTTTCCAGCTCATCTGAAGACTTAGGAGCTTCGAAGGAGCTTCCTCCTGTGCTTTACTGTATGCGTGCTGTAGAGATCAGCCTGCCAAAATTCGGTGCTTCTAATCTTTATGAATAATTCAGCAGGTTTCAGGCTTGCAAGAGCAGAAGGGAGGGGAGGGGGAACAACACCCCAGCTTGCTCTGAAAAGCAAGCAATTACACAGAGTGATATTTCTCCTTCTACCCCACCCTTCCGCCCACCGCAATTCTAAAAATCACCTTCCTTTTGACATCGTACCTTCCATTCTCTTCTCCTCCAGTCTCCACCTACCACTGGAAACAAGTCCGATTTAGACAGGAACTCCTCTGCTCACACGACACTGTATCTGACTCCTTCTGGTCCATGATTATGAAGCAGGCTTTCACGCTTCCGTGGTTTACAGAAAATATTATCTAATTTTAGAGCAAATCTGTAGCTCTTGCATGCCAAAGCACACATGCTTAATACATGCTTGCTGCTCCTTGGCAACAGAATTCTTGATCATTTAACTGAACTGACCCTCCTGTGTGTCTCCATATAGGTTTTTGCAGTGGCTTCTCTGCCTGTAAATGTTTTGGATTTAGTCTTAGGCAGTAATACTGAATGTTGACATGGTGAATGTATACATTTCCTAAAGCACGGACAGATAGAGAGAGAACCTGACGTTGTCCTTACATTCAAGGTGGTTTGTAAAAGAGATTGTTTGCCATTAAGTGGGAAATGCCCCAAAGACATGCAAAGTAAGAGATCCCATGCAGCAAAACAAATCCAACAGATAGATGTTGCCTTTCTTGCATGTTGCCGATGAAAATGTATATCCTGTGTTCCTCCAGACCCCTTGAACAAGCAGGACATGTCTTCTGATGTTCATAGGGAGGTGCAAAGCCTATTCAGAGCCCCTAGATTTTTAACTTGCAACTGGGAATGGACAATTGTATTTGTATTTTTGCATCATGTGAAGTGCTGATGTCTACCTGTTTCTTCATAAACAGTTTTGCACTTGGTACAGAAAGGGGGGTTACTTACCTGTAACCATGATTCTTCGAGTGGTCCTCTGTGAATCCACATGAATGGGTTAATCTGCACCTGCACAGGACCTCTCAGAACTTTCTTAAAAACATGTGATTAGTGGGATGTTCCCCCGTGGAGCGCATGCTTTGCCCGCCTTGAGGTCCCTCCGTTCCTAAGATGTCCGCCGCTGTCAAAAAAGGAATAGAGACAGACATTGGGGAGGATGGACGGAACATATGGATTCACAGAGGGCCACTCAAAGAACCATGGTTACAGGTAAGTAACTCTTCTTTCTTCTTCGTGGTCTCTGTGAATGCACACGAATGGGTGACTAGCAAGCTCACTTACTGGTCAGTGGGATGTAACGTTAGAAGTGAAGTAAGAACAGCTCTGCTGAAGCCAGCTTCATTCTTGGCTCTGACATCCAGTCAATAGTGTGCGATGAATGTCGAGGGTGTAGACCAAGTGGCAACTCGACAGATATTGGAAATGTTAAATACCGCAAAGAAAAGTGGTAGTGGTAGAGAAGGCCCTGGTGGAATAGGCTTTGATGGTGTCTGGTGGGGGCTTACCCGCTAATTTATTTATTTATTTCATTTATACCCCACCTATCTAGTCAATTATGACCACACTAGGTGGCTAAGTCATATGCCAGGGCAATACTCTGGACTATCCATCTATATTTGGTCTGCAATGAGGCTGGGGAACCCTTGCGTGGACCATGATGGCAAATGAATAGATGTGGAGATTTTCAGAAGTCCTGGAGACATAAAAGGCTAGGGAACATCTAACATCAAATGAATGCAGCATGCGATGTAGATCCGATGATGGAGACGAAAATACAGTAGAGATAGAAGAATGAGAGGTTGATTGACGTGAAAGTCTGAAACAACTTTAGGTAGGAAGGAAACATCAGGATAGAGGGTGACCTTATCAGGATGAAATTGAAGATAAGGGGCATCAGACATGAAAGCTGCCATCATTGAGCAGATGTGATGGCAACCAAAAATAGAGTTTTGAAGGACAGAAGCTTGAGGTTGGTTGTGGCAAGCGGTTCGAAGGGAGGGCGAATGAGAGCACGAAGGACAGTTCGGAGTGACTATTGTGGAAGAGGTGGTCTTTGAGGCGGACGAATGTTGTGGAGGCCCCTAAGGAATCTCTTTAAAGTTGGGTGAAAGAAAAGATGGGTGCTCTGGTATCTGTATGGTTGTTGCATGCAATAAGATTTGGCCATTTCCCTGATCTTATGGAGGGTATTCAGGACGTCATCTGTTTTATCACTGACCCACTCCATCAAAGGGGAAGTCTTTTATACGTGACTTGGCATCATTGGTAATGCCACCTGAGCAAAGCCAAGCATGACATCAAAGTGCAGCAGCTGTAGCCATAGATTCTGAAGTGGCATCTGCACTATGGCGTGATGCTATGCGCTGTTGCTTTGTGAGGGTGGAGGCTTCAAGATGGAAATTGAGCACTCCAACCCTGGCATCCTCAGAGGAAGCTTGTAAAATAGGAAGCACCTTGTCCAAAGCTGTCTATGGTAGGCACCCATGGCAGCTTGGTAATTGGCTACTTGCATGGTGGAGGATGCTAAAGAATAAAGACGACATCTGAAAATGTCTAGCTTCCTGCCCTCCCTATTTATCGGATCTACTGAAGATCGATTTCAAGCCCAAGATTGGTTTGACTCCAAAATAACCGAGTTAGGTGCTGGGTGCTTAGCAAGGAATGATGTATCGGAACCACAAGTCTTGTAAAGGTTCTCAACTCGTCTCGATATTTGAAGAGAAGATGGTGGTTTGTCCCAAGATTCCTTTATAAGGTCCAGCATGGCAGGGACAAAAACTAGGCTGAGCAGTGAAGATTTGTCTTGGTTGATATCATCGAAAATGTGGTCTTGCTTCGGTGGTGGTGGCTGCTTGACTTCGAGTTTGAGAGACCTAGCCATGTGGAGAACCAGCTGTGAATATGAAGTCTTCAGATGGTGAAGGTGGGTGATTGTCTGCTACATCAGAATCAGACGTGGGTAGATTCAATGGAGACTCTTGAGAAGCTTCAGATGGCAGATTGAAAATGTCAGAAGCTGCAGTATCAGAGGATTCTCTTTTGTATGAGCATGGTAGAGAAGGTGACCAACGCTGAGATTTCGATGTAGAGTCTTGAGCCATGGTCATGGAATGAGTGGATGATCCCTGGTCGCTGTCTGCTAGGGCAGGAGGAGGTCCTCTATAAGTAGTGGTAACTTGTAGGGATGAAGATCTCACTTGAGAGAGGGTGGTACTAGGTTGAGAAACTGAGGTAGAAGTTGGTAGAGAAGATGTGCAGGAACGCTTTGGTGTTGGTCGGATAGTTGAGACAAGTGACGCTTTAGAGCTGACTTAGTCAGCATCAAAACCGTTGGCACTGGTTGAGGTTTCGGCTGTTGAGTATTATGTCAGTGTTGAGGTGGTGACAGTGAGGGTGGAGAATCAGAGGGATTCTGATAAAGAGTAGTTATATGCTTAGCGTACCCTCTTTGGTTTGTCACAATAAGTTTTGAAATGCAGTCAGTGTCATCTGCACAGTATTGAAGTCAATCGTACTCCCCATAGTAAGGGTCTTGATAGTCCGGAGATAGTTGATGTTGAGAGGGTTTATGGATATAATAAATCACAAAGTGTGGAGGCTCGCGATATGAGAGAGAGATGGTGATGCTTTGCCAAATGCTTGCGAGAAGGTAACTGTCACAAGGAGTTGGAATTGGAAAGCTGGATGACTGTTGCCTGCCCTGTAGATGCAGGGCTTGAATGGGCTAAGGCTGGGCTGGAAACAACATCAGCCACCTAGACTAGGTGAGAGGCTTGGTACAGAAAAAGGAGCCTGGCCGGGAGGTAGTGGGAGAGGATTATCCCCTTCTGACAAAAAGTAAGGTACCTCCTTAGATCGGAGATGGAAGATCTAGTTGGTGAGAGGGAGGTTCGATAGGTTGGGTAGACTTAGATGGTCACTTAGTCTTTTTTTTTTTGGCTTAGCATGATCCTTCTTCTGTTTGGGAAAGTGTTTACAAATCCATGTCGAAGATGGTTTTGAGACCGATGCCAATTTCGAAGTGGGTTTAGAAATCACCTTCTGCTTCGGTGATTTGAACTGGCTAATCAGGTTCTGATCTGGTTCTTTAATGCTGTTGTTTGTGTTTATTATACTGAGATTTTCTATCAGTATTTTTAATCTGTTTCTGTGCTGCTGTGGTTGTTTACTGAAGGACTGGTATTCTGAATATGGTAGAACTGAAAACATGTGGAATAATGATGAATAAGAACTGGTTGAAGTAGCAGCATTTTAAAAGCCAGCAGTTTTAAAGATTTATATATTCATTCCCTCGAATCTGAAGGTGGCTGAACTGAGACAAATGTAGTGATTCTTGTAATTGTCATGTGCCATGTATGTGCCTGCATCCCAGTTCAGAAAGTTCAAGTCTCTTGCATGGGCTCAGGTCAACTGAACAATGGTGGAAATTGTTTATTCCATTAAATATGCTGAACCTCTGTCTGGGCTTTGACCTGCATGAACTTCATAGATAAAATAGAGAGGTTACTTACCTGTAACTCTGGTTCTTTGAGTGGTCATCTATGATTTCACAATAATGGATTAAGTCTGCACCTGTGCAGAGGCCTCACAGCAAGACTGAAGAGAGCACCGCGTGCCCAAAACCTGCATCCACTTTGGCACGCATGTCCAACCGATAATGGGACGTAAAGGTATATGGAGTCAACCAAGTGGCAGCCGGGTGTTTGCTGGTCTTGTGCTTCTTCGATACCGGTTGTACTGATGCCGCACTGAAGTATCTCTTGTGACACCCGGTATGAGCCAGCGGTACTGGGGTCAGGAGACTGTCTGTGTCTGATTCAAGTCTGATTGATACCGGGATGAGGCATACGAAACTGAGGGGTAGGAGTACCCATATTGAAGCTGAGGATCGAAATACTGCTCTATACCCTGCTGCCAGTACCAATGGTGGTGGCGGTATGGCATGGTCGGCATCCCATAGAAAGGCAGAGGCTAAAAAAACATAACATGCTTTGGGCTGATGTTTGCAAGCCCTTGAGCCCTTCAATACCTTCAGCCCCGAGTGTCGCAAAGGCTGATAGACGATGGTATCGGAATGACCAGTATGGTGTGTTTCGACCTTTCTTTTCTTCACTGTAACTGGGTCAGGAATGGAAGGTGATCGGATTCACACTCCGACATAGAGCCAGCCAGAGATTTGGGGCTCGATCCAGCCGAAAACCCTGCTGTCTGTACCTCAGCGGAGGTATCCGCCCGATGGAGATCCGGCGAACAGCAGAGGAGGAGGATGTTTAGAAACCAGTGGAATGAAGTCTTTATCAGTGTCCAAGTCGATGGGCTGTTGTGTCGATGACTGCTGTACCGGATGAGTGTCTGGTGAAGGTTTCTTTGATTTCTTTGATTTTGAACTAGTAGACTTTGACTTCAGTTGAGACGTTGGTGTAGAGTGCGTTGTGGAACCAGATGATTTAAGTTTAGGAGCTTTAAATTTTGGTGATTGCACTGGCGATAATGTGGCTGAAGAAGCCGGTAGCTGGGTGTGTGTGTTGTGAACTGTCCATTTTGGTTTGCGGCCGAAGTGATTGATCCCACAAAAAAGAACATAGCCGTTTAATTTAATTGCTTGCTTCATGAAATTCTTACAAAGAGAGCAGCCACAGGGCTGATGAGCTTCTCCCAGACAGAATAAACAAGCTTTGTGTCCATCTGAAGTAGGAGCTTGTTTGTGCAAGAAATGCACTTTTTGAAGGGGCCTGTAGGGGCCATAAAAGGCGGGAATCTAAACAGGGAAGGGAGAAGGGGGGGAACAAACGATTTCTTCCTTTTAAAAAGATAATTAAGGGAATTAACAGGATATACAAATTATTGACGATATAATCTGACGAAAGCGATCTATATCTTACAGGAGGAACCGATTTGACCGAGTGAGCTCCAGAGATGAGACCTCAGCAGTGGGGGGAAAAAACTGAGGTAATTGATGAGCTATGGGGGGGTGGTCCTAGCGATCTTTCAGCTCTAGAATATTCTGAGGCCTCTGCGCAAGTGCAGACTTAACCTATTAGTGTGCATTCACAGAGACCACGAAGAAGAAACACACAGAAATCTGTCTGAGAAGAAACCATAGAGAAGCGACTTGGGGGTAAAAAAAGTAGCATATGTCGGAGGAAATGGCTTCTACAATTAAGATTTTTCCAAACAAAAATTATTTTTATATTAATTAGTCAAGAAAAAAACCAATGACTGTAATCATATTTCCTTTCATTATGTATTTTCTATATGCTTAAATAATTAATTTTTAACAATTAGTTTTAATTAAAAATTACAACAAAAAAATGAAAAACCAAACAAGAAATATAACAGAGAATATTAAAAAATAAATTACATAACTAACAAATTAACAACATAAATCAAATTAAGACAATATAATAAAACATAATGTGCTCCCCCCCAGGAACTATTTGCAGGTATAATTAATTTTCGTTCCCATAGGACATCCCCTACCCCTTCCAGAATGGCATAGAGTCTTACGAAGGTGCACTTTTTCTTCTTTATTAATTGTTGCTGTTGTTTAGTTGTTAAGTCATGTCCAACTCTTCGTGACCCCATGGACCAGAGCACACCAGGCCCTCCTGCCTTCCACTGCCTCCTGGAATTTGGTTTTTTATTAATACATAACTGATAAACTCTCTTCCAATATCAATAAAAATATTATTCAACAAGCCTTTCTTATCTGTTAAGATTATAGTAGATCATCTTATCATTAATGGTTATGTTCCAAATTTCTTTATACCATTCATTTAATTGGAAATTATATTTTATTTTCCAATTCCTTACTGTTATTCATCTTGCTACTGTTAATAAGTTTGATAATTTTTGTGTAGTTCATTTCCATTGCTCCGAATCAAATATTGATGAAAGTGCTATTTTAGGGCATGGTTCTCTAACTATTTTATTTCTTTTAAAAAACTGCCAGAATTTTGATATACTTTCATATTCTTGCCACTTATGAAATGTTCTGATTTTCTGATAACCTCTCCAATACATCCTAGGAAAAAAATTGTATCTGATTAATTGGAGTTAAAACGCCATCACCAAATTAATTTATAAAAATTACTTTTATCATTATAGACATAGATATCTGATATTTTCCCACACCTCAATACTTATTTCCTCTTATAAATCATGCTCCCACATTAATTTTAGAAACTTCTACTGATCCTCAGCTTCTAATATTTTATAAATTTTATTTGTTATCCCTTTCACTATCTTACATTTAACATACTCTTATATTGTCTAAATAAGATTGTTGTACGCTCTCTCCTCTCACGCTTTTAATTTTGGCTACTGTTTCTGACCATTCCTTTGCTTCTGGCTTACCTCTATAGTATTGAAACATCTAGGGAGGCTGGAGCCAATACACAAATAAGTCCACCTGCCCAGTCACCGTATTCACCCAGTAAGTCACAAGCAGATTGTATGTACCCTGTGATTTTGCAGGTGTGCAAAGCATCTGTTGAATTCAATACTGGATGAAGAATTCAGCTTCCTTAAATGTTTAGATTCCATTAAAATAACAACACACAGTTGCATACCTATTAATTTCCAAAAAGACTGACTTACTGTCAGGTGCGTACTGACTCTACAGTGTAGAAGCCACCTGCTGGGGTTACACATGACACTGCTCCAGACTTTCTGTTAATTTAAATCAGCAGCACCATATATTAAACAGAGGCTAGCTACATTTGTACCCTTGTGTATCAGGATAGTGTTGGTAAAATGGGTGGGAAGAAGCCCACTTTATGTATTTCTGATGGTTAGTGTGTATGAGTCCGTGCACATCTGCGCACGTCCAAAGAGTAGGAAAGTTGTTTATTTTTAAGCTGAGAAGAAAACAGTTGTGTATAACTGTATCATTTACACAATTAAAATAGCAAAATAAAGTTGTACATAATTTTGACTTTTATTACTCTTTAGCATTTATACATCTACATTACAAAAATAGTACATCTCCCTAAGCTAGTAACAAAATAAATGCCAAACTTTATAGAGGTAGAATTATCTAGAGTTTGCTTATTCTTCACTAATATACAGCATACTGTATGTACATGATAAAAACTTACATTGCTTTCAGTGATTAAAACAACTGGAATCAAGAATTTAGCCATCATAATCAGGGCTATTACTTTTAAAACATCTTTTTAAAAATTGTATTAATCTTTATTAAATTAATCAAAAAGTACTCTCAGCATTAAGTGGTTTCGGTTGAAATAATATATTTGCTTAATAAGCTAGAAATGTGCCTTTTTGCTTGTGGATGTGGCTCCTTCACCCTTCCTTTTACAGCATAAGATGTTGAACTGAGATATTTGACATTAACCATACATGGTTTTTCGGAAGTTAGAAACTATATTAAACTTTGTTCAATCTATTTAAAAGTCACCAACGCATAATTTCTTAGTCTGGACGAAACAAGAAACTATGGCTTGATTGCTTGCGCCACAAAAGGCTGAATGTGTGAGCAAAACTTTTCATACTTTTGCTTGTTAAGAAGATATGATCTCCCAAGTGAGCCATTGAGTACAGAGATTTTTCTTTGCATAATATAAGCAATTAAGTGAAGTGAAATGTGGCTGTTCAAATGCAATGACACTGACATTTAAGAACTGCATGCAAATGAAAATATGGGAAGTGCAACTATTACACTTTGGATCTGGTGTACTGTGTACTGTTACACCATTTTCCAAACAGTGTTACCTAAAATTCTTCAGTAGTTAAACTGAATTGAGAACCAATGCCTCAAGGTGGCATTAGTCACTAGGAAATCGTATTTTACCCAGGCCTGCAATTTGTGTGATTTCTTTAGTGATTCAATAAAGGTATCACCTAACTCTTCCATTTCTATAATACTGAACCACACAGCCTTTTCCTAATTGTTTCTGGACTATAATTGCAAGGATAAAGAGCAGGGCAGCATAACTCTGTATCTATGAAATATACCGTACACTAATGGAGGTGTACACAATTTGCAATATATATCTACAATTTACAATGGAAACATGACTTCCTAACACCCGGCCTAAAATTCTGCATTAAAGCAATGAAAGAACCAGACAAATCAAGAACAAAAGAAATGCAACTTTTACAAAATTTAGTCAGTATATGCTGTGCACAAACTCTTTCCCTAATATGGACAACATTCTGGGTAACTTTCAGAATGTAATTATAGAATTAGGAAAAGTAAGAGCAGCAATGTCTTTGAAAAGCAATCAATAGCTTGAAAATTTTACCAGCTTCATTATTTAAAGTTATATTCCCTTTCCATGGAAAAGACATGAACTGAAGATACAAGGACAAGCCTGCTGCACAGGGCATTTCACAGCCTTTAAAAAGTGCCCATCTTAAATACCAGGCTACTCCCTGGCTACTAATTTGAAATGTACAATCATATACTTAAAAACACACATTTTTTTGGTAGAAAAATTGAAGCCTGACTCAAAATATAGTCTAGGTTTTACACAAATATACAGTATATATATATATATGCATACACATACACACAACCAAATCTTTTACATGTTGTAACACTGTATCCAGAACCATAATTACAAACATATTCTTAAAAGCCATTAAGAAATGTCCTCAATGTTAAAATCTTGCATCTGTACACAAAATCACAATAATCAGAAGTTTAACTTCAGTGCATTTGTAGGCGTCACTAACTGAAGTCTCTGGTTAGACCAAGACTTGCTGTCTTAAGCACTAATCGTGTACGAGGAGGTCTCCTTCCTGCAGTTTGTTTCCCTCAGCATTGCTCCTCCTTGAAGAAAACGGGTTAAGAGCTGTCCAGCTTTCACCGAAGCAACAAAGCTTTAGTACTGAACATATTCAGACTGAAGGGACTGTGAGTGAGAAACAAAAACTGGTATTAAAGGTCTGTTGCAGGCATATGAAACTTCAAACAACACGAACAGGCTTATTTCAAATTGGAAGGGCTCACTATTACAAATGAAAGGCTGGTGAAGAAGGCAGAAGGTAACAGCGTGGGTCAGACAAGCAATTTAATTTGCTCACATCACCAGCAGCCTAATGGGGATATGAAGGAGTAATCCAGTGTTTCCCAAATGTCCCAGACGACTGAAACATTCCTCTAAACTGAATTAACACTGGAGGCATACAGTTGTTCTTGCACCCCAGTAGGTTTACCTCATGAAAGTGGAAAAATAAAAATAAAAAAACTATCTGTCTTCAAATTTCTCCACAAATTACTAATGTGATCTTCCTTCCAGAGAGAGGAAAGCGTAGAATAGTGGTTTATGCAGCCACACAAAAGGCATCCTCCTTTGAAGGCTTGGTCATTGTGCTCTGTTTTGGTATGAGGAGGGGTGGGACACTCAAATCGCACCGGAGGAGGAAAAACGGCATCAAAAGTGGTCATGGGCAGGAAGGTTCTTCAAGGTGAAAACATAACTTTACCAGAAGGATTTTCTTGGGGCTTATTAACAGTTCTCTCTCATTTAACAATTCCAAAAAAGGTAGTTCTGTTAATAAGTTTCAGGAAAAAACAATGGAGAGATGAATGGCTACTTAAAGATGAATCAATTTATTATAGCACATATATCAGTCTTCAGGGTACCATAGGACCCTTACTTTTCTCACCGTTTAAACTTGAGAATTAAAAGAGGGAGCTTTCACTCTGTGTCATGGAAATTAAAGATAAATGTTAAATTACAAGTAAAAGAACAATAGGGTACTGTTTTGCAAACTGGGTGTTACTTTGGGACGAAGGGGCATGAACTGACAATTGTTCAAAGACAGCAAATGTGATTGTTTTATAAGTCTTCACATTTTGATTGTCACTCGTTCCTAATTAAAAATCCTAGCTATCTTTTGCATTGTGCTTTAAAACAAAGAACACAGTCATAACCACCTCTAGAATTCATCTCGGCAAAGACATTGTAAAATGAAATTGCTCTTATTATAATTGCACTCTTCAATAGTGAAGAGCGCTCCTCAGAATGTTATTCCATTTAGAATGGAAGTGAAATAGGACTAAATTTGTGTGAAATGAATTAACAGTGGCACACTTCAAAACATACTAAAACAGTTCAGATACACGTTTGAAAGGTGAAAGAGCTGAAGAAAATGAGGGTATACAATTATGGTAAACAGCAAAGATGGAGAAGCTAAGGTTAGCAGAGTTAATTTAGACTATTTTATGTGAAAAGAGAAAGTGGATTTCAAATTATAGTAAGGTTGCAGTATCCATGGATTGGTTCCAAGCTTCCTCACAGATGCCAAAAAGCATAGGAATAGAAATACTATATATAGTACAACCTCTAGTTCCCTCTAGTGGCCAGCTCTAGTAATACACACTGGAAATGCATATTTCAGGATTTTAAAAAAAATTATATTTTCAGGCAGCAGATAAGTGAAACCGCGGGTACTAATCCCACAGACCTACTGTACTCTGAATATCTACTGGAACAATGAAGCCTAACCTAAGATCTTATCTACAATACAGTGTATTCTAGTTCTCTCTATGAAGCTTATTCACCTGGGAGTAAGTTCTAGTGGAGTCAATGAGACTTATCTCCAGATAAAGAAGTGAAATATTACTGACCATTTTTGTAATAATTTATCCACAACATGTTAAACAGGAACCTCAAATCATCTCAATATTAAAAGTTCTCTCTGCCATTTGACAAACTGGCTAATTGGCAAATTAAAAGAATAATGGAAATGTGTAGCTAAACATATATAACCATGTGTTTATAAACATGTAATAACACCTCCAAAGCCAAACAAGCATTTTAAATGTTGCATCACAACTTGACAAAGGTAGGGGGGAGTGTGTTCTGTTGAGGAACATAGGCCCATCTTGTATTCCTTTTCATCTTTGCAAGTGTAGTAAAAAAAAACCTTCAATACAAAGCTTTGTTTTACCAGAATCCTTCCTAAGGGAGAGTTAAGCTAGTTTTTATATGGATGCAGGGAATGAATGAGGAGCTAGACTGCATAAACTTCAAATCAGGTCACACAATTTTTTATCTACATTTTCTTTCCTCAATCAATTTGGATTATTTCAAGTCAAGGTAAAACAGGCATAAATGGCAAGGAAGGCATTTATCGATGCTGGTCATTTATGGCCAAAACCAAGGCTTTGAAATGTTCCTAAAAGTTTCTGGCCAACAAATGCAGATCTTAATCAGGTTCGTCCATATAAAATGTAAGAAACCCACAGATTCTTTGGCATGCAAATCAGAAGGGTAGTTAAAGATATCAAAGCATTAACATTATAGATTCTTCTGAGCCCAGCAAACAAAAACCAACAGCGGTCACTCCACACATGCAACATTTTACAGGCGTTTGAAAACTTGTTTTGCACAATGATTTAACTCAGCAAGGTGGAAAGCTAGTATGAACCACACATTCTACTTCAGATTTCTTTCCCGTGCATAGAGCAAGTGTTCACAGAACTACAATACTGTGATTTAGGTTAGGCAGAAGCATCCAGGTTTCTCAAAATTTGACGGCTGTGAAGACTATGCTAGATCTCCTTGGATCACTACTGTTCATAGGTGTATATGTGCTGTCAAATCAGAACCAACTTACAGTGACCCTAATAGGGCTTTCAAGGAAAGTGAGGTATTTAAGGAGTGTTTTTACTACTGTAGTTCCATGCCCTCAAATGAAAAAACAAAGTGTGCTGCTTATATACTGTCCCAAAGCACTTCCTGGGTATTTTACCATTTAATTATGGGGGCTATACGTTGTCCTCCGCCTTCTAGAAAGCTGGATTCTCAATTCACCAACCACAGAAGGATGGAAGGCTGAGTGAACCTCAAACTGGCTACCTGGGATTGCACCTGGGTCATAAGCAGAGTTGGCTGCAATACATCAGTTTAACTGTGTTAACCATGAGGTTACTCAGTGAGTTTCCATGGCTGAGCAGGGATTTGACTCTAGGCCTCCAGAGTTCTAGTTCATCAGTCTATCCACTACATCAGGGGTCTCAAACATGCGGGCCCCCAGATGATAGTTTGTGGCCCTTGCCTTGCCTGCCCCCCCAAGCACCCACACATCCTCTGCTGTCAAGAGTAAACAAAAAGCCTTGCCTCGCTCGCCGGCTCTCTCCCAAGACAGCACCTCTTGCACCCTCCATCCAGAACTGCAGCCTGCCAGCCAGCCCACCTGTCTGTCGGCTAAGGAAACTCCTAGGCGGCTTCCTCGGGCTCTTGCTCCGCTTGGTGGAAAATCTGATGCGGCCCAGCCTCACCCAGACTCTGTCTCTAGCGGCCCTCAGGTAAATTGAGTTTAAAACCCCTGCACTACATCATACTGGGTCTGTTCATAGGTATTATTCTGTATTTTGTTCTATAATTCATGACAAACTGGCTATATGATCCATTCATGCTTGATGAGGGATCACAGAAATGTCATGTATTGAATATTGCACAATAATATGCTATTATTTTCTCCTTCCACTGTTCTTCCTTTCCAGGCATTCCAGAGGTTTACCTCAACCATCTGCTGTGGCACAATACCCGAATGTATGATATCTACAATCTTAATCAATGCATCACAGAAAAGCATAGACATACACTTTCCAAAGTCTAAAAACTGCTTCAGACATATGCCCTTTCCGCCTTCTAAAATTTGCTGTCATTTTACGGAGTTTTACACAGTGACATTATTACAAAAACACAAATTAAAATTTGGAAAGCAAGCATACTTTTTAAAAACAGCAATTGCCATATGTATATTTTAAAAATAAACTTTTGGGATTCAGAATTTCATTTCAGAGACCAAATAATAGATTATTTCAGTATGGGACAAGTTTCTGGTTTTTCACATTTTCTACATCAAATTACGGAAACTGGTGTTTGTTAGAAGCACTTGGCAGGTGTACTCAAACATATGTAACAAACCTAATACACCCCCCAAAAATCAGTTTAGAAACCACTCAATATGCTTCCACACTAAGCTAAAAGAAGGTTTTTCGGGCTCTTTCGCCGTGTTCTAAAGGTTGTTTTTCCTAATGTTTCGCCAGTTTCTGTGGTCGGCATCTTCAGAGGACAGGAGTAACCCAAGCAGAGTGCTACTCCAGTCCTCTGAAGATGCCGGCCACAGAGACTGGCAAAACATTAGGAAGAACAACCTTCAGAACACAGCCAAAGAGCCCGAAAAACCCACAACAACCATGAGATCCTGGCCGTGAAAGCCTTTGTGAATACAAAAAACAGACAAGTTCTATCCATCGAAATAGCAAAGGGATGCAGACCACAGGTTGGAATATGGTACCATACCAGTAGTGGCAACAAAACCATTAAGGTTTTGGAACTAGAATGTGGGTGGCCAATGTTGTGCTCTGTCATATGTTGTTTGAGTAACACCTCTATCACCTCTAACCAGCATAACTGAAGGTGAAAGATGATGGAACTCATAATCCAACAATTTCTGGAGGACCACAAGTATCCCATCTCTTGATCCTCTATGCACTGCTGTGCCAAGTAAATAGGACAGGGTAATTAAGCAGCATTCTAGGAAGCACAACACAATCCCTTAAAAGTATTCCTAACAATATAAAATTTGAGGAAGGTTATGGAAGCCCTCATATGGACTTAATTTATAAATTGCGCATTTCAATCATAGAAATGAAAAAGAATGTAAGAATAGTTTTTAGAGTAGGTTAACAACAAGTATAGATTTAACACCATTTCTGAATCTGGGTTTCATTGCTTTGCCAACTTAACCAATCACCTAAACGGTGATAACATTATGTTTTGTTAGAATGTGTTTGTGCTCTCATTGGCTACTACTTCTAATGAATCATGAAGGTCTTACTTTGTCATGAAATGTTTCACATTTTCAGCTTTTTATTATAAAATGGATAGTCTAATGAAGAAAGATGCATTGAAGAGATATTAAGAGGGTTAAAGAATTATCAGTCCCCATTACATCTGCTTCCAAGTGAACATCAAAAGAGCAGAAGGAAAAGGTAGACGATGGCTTTTGTTAGGAGGAAATCAGGAAGAAGGGGGAAAAAGCACATTGTAGGTAGGAAGAGACCAGAAAAACCAGGTCTAGAATGGTTAGAAACTCTTTTGAGGAAATTCTGGTCGAAGTGAGGCTCGATCAGGTCCCTGAGAGGGCTGCTGAGGCCGTGAACTTACAGGAATGGAGCGACTCAGATATCTTGCTGGAGAAGCAGCGAGCCCGCTGCCAAAGGATCTGTAGGTGCTGTGCTCCTCTGCCAGGACGCGGGGAGAATTGGCATAGCTGTTGAGGTTGGTGGTACTACTGCCGCTCCTGTTGTACAGGTTGTTGTTCAGCTCATGGTAATTTCTGGCCAGCAGCTGTACACTGCCGTTCAAGTGACTGGAGGTTTGGTTTACAGAATAACCTGTCCTAGAGGACGATGATGTCATTTTGCTCTCCGCATCATCGGAAGCAGCATACAGGTTCCCTAGAGAACTGGCTAGCCTGGAGTTTATGGAAATGCTGAATGGAAAACACACGCGGGGTAAAAAAAACAAACACCACACACATACACACACAAAATGTACATACATGTAACGGTTAATGCAAGAGACATTTTAAAAGGCACTAAAACGGGAGATGACAGGAAATGGCTGTTCCCCCAAAATTGTGTAAAAGCAAAACAAGCTTTTAATTCTTTCTTAAATTAATGTCAACTACGGAGCAACCACTAAGAAAGCTTTAAGGCATGGAGTGAGGCAATAGTGAAATAGCTTTAATGTCTGGAGTAAATCTGTGGGCCTGATCTCTAAGACCACAGTAAATCTGTGGGCCTGATCTCTAAGACCACAGCCATGGCCTAACCTTACACATTCAGACCTTCCTACAGAGCTTTCCTTGGCAACAAGTCCTTTGCACTCATTCATTTCTTAGACTGTATAATAAGTGGCTGGAGGGCATTTCTCAAAAGAAAACTCTGTACAGAAACCTGTCTATAGATCTTGTAAATACAGGGCCCTCAGCATCAGACCCCACTGTTCTATCAGTATTCAAGGATACTGTCGGACCATCATTATCGGTTTACCACAACCATGAGTTCAAAATGACATGTCAAACAGAGGACAAGGTCACCATGTATTTAAGACTGTTAGTACCCTTGCAGGTCTTAAGACTGCCAGTACACAAAAATGGTGTTACAGGTGTATAAAGCACAGTCAGAACCTATTGGTTCCTGGAGAATGCATTGTTCCCTTATGTTTTTATCTCCCTCCCCAAAGACAAGAACACACCAGAGTAAGGCATACCTTTTTAAATTGGGGCTTGAGGATGGAGAGTGTCTGTTGATTCTCTTTGCTGCAGGTGACATAGAAACCATCACTTTGGAGGACTTCAAAGGAGAGACAGATCCTTGAGAAAGTGCTGCGCTATTCAGTCTGGAAGTACAAACAGAAAAGGTAGTGGCAATACAACGGTCATCATTCTAATAAAAATGCTCAAATAAAATATTTCTAAATGCATTAAACCAATTTTTGAGATACTTTGGCTAAAATCCTCTTGCTTAACATACTGGATTGCAACTAGAGTGGGCCCACTTGAATCAATGGAATTTATGCAGAACGTGACTGACAAAATCTCCACTGATTCAATGGATTTACTAGCATGCGTGAGAGGGTGGTGGTTTAAGAAAAAAGAGAGAGAACTGGTCCTATGGGGACACATGTATGAACAGACTTCTGTCCAAAAAAATTCCTAGCTCTGATGTTTGAAACTCATCACTGCTAGAATTTATGTGCATCCATGTATTTTTGATACAGAGGTTAAGCTGCAAGTGTCCATCAGACATTTCTTCTTATGTACAGGGGCCATTGACTATAACTAAGATCTGATCAGCCATGGCTTTTTAGGGGCTGCTATAGGAAGCACGAAGCCAAAGAGAACCTTCATGTCCAAGAAACCAAGCAGAATCTTCCAGACTGCAGAATCTTTCAAAACTGCTGTTTTGAAATCTTTCCACAGCTTGGGAGAGATCAGACCTGGGATTCAGACCTGGACTCAGTGCTGGCCATTTCAGAACTCTCCAGCGCTTTGTTTGTAACCATTTCTGAGTGCTTTTGGAAGTGTGTTTCCAGTCATTGTCCTGCTGGAAGACCCATGACCTCTGATGGAGATACAGTGGTGCCTCGCTTAGCGATCGCTCCACTGAGCGACGAAATCACTTAGCGACGGAGTTTAAGCGATCGCAAAAGTGATTGCTTAGCGATGGTCCCTATGGGGAAAATTCGCTTTGCGATGATCGCAGGGAAGCATTTTCTGACAGAATTGCAATGGTGACAATATCTTTGACCATGGCTGTATATTTAATGTTCAGCTAACAACAATGGGAAGAAGTGAATTTTATCAGTTTTGCCTTGTTGGTTAGCTGTATTTTACTACTGATCAAGTGTCTTAATCAGAGTGTATCCCCAAAAAAGTCCTCTGTAGGAAAGTGGAATGCACAGTTTCACCAATCTGCAAAGCATGTGGATGATGACTGGGAATGAGAGAGGGAAAAGTGAGAAGAGAGATCCATGGAAAAGAAGTACCTGAAAGGCTGGGACATTGATCTGGTGTGCAATTTCATATCTTCTAACCTAGAAAGTCAATAATAGTTTATATCAAAACAGACTTTAAAGGCACATGACACATTATTTATTACTGGGCTTCTATCATGATGTAAAACTGCAAAAGAGACACACAGAGAGAAACTAATGCAATCCAATTAAAAACACCCACCCACACATTTCAGATAAAAGAGAAGTACTGTCCAGAATCTCTCTTTTGAAGTCCCACAAATGCTTTACTAAATAGGGAAATGCCATTTACCATCCTTATGAATACTGGCTCAGTGAGCCTTGCAAAAGGTGTTTGGCTGGGCACATGGCCCTTCACAACACACTCATGCACCATGAACAGTGATAGGGCTCCTAAAAATGGACTTCCTTAAGTCACCTGAAGGCAAAGGGGCCAGTACAGCATGGGCCACCGCTCAGGGTGCAAGCTTTTTGCAGACAAAGTCCCAGGTACAATCACTGGTGTCTCTGGGAGGTGAGGAAGAAACTGATAGCAGGTGACAGGGAAAGAAACTTGACCTCAGTTGCGAGAAGAACTGCAAGAGGTAACAGTACTGGGACAGAACCGATGAACCAACAGCCTACCAACCTTATGTTGGCATATGAGCAAGCACATCCTGGACACAGATTTTTATGAGTATTTGCATCCTTACCCGACAAAATTAAGACTCTGAATCAAGAAGGGAGGAAAATGTCTTCTCACAGTTAAGAGGCAGGGGTTAGACTTTACTACATTTTGTTTAAAGGGCATACTCATCCATGCCCCCATGAAGTACAACTCAAAAAGGAATCAATCCTGTTCTTTCAGCAGCTTTGATAACAGAGGTTACTGTTCAGCAACAGACGACTATTCTAAACTCTGCTAAAAGGGGAGTCTGGACTTTTTAGGCTCTAAGTTGGGATTCCTATTGTAGTGGAGTGCCAGACTCGGACTCTGGAGAACAGGGTCTGAATCCCCACTCAGCCATGGAAACTGACTAAGGGAGTGGAACTAGTAAAGTCACTCCTTAAATACCTCACTTGCCTTGAAAGATCTAGTAGGGTTGCTATACGTTGGTTCTGACTAGAGATGGGGACGAAGCTCCAATGCGACGCTTTGTCTTGGTTTGTGAACCAAAAAGTTGCCCCCCAGCAGCCTGACAAACCACAAATCAATTTGCTGGTTCATTGAGTAATTTTTTGTTTAAAGACAGCCCCTGGGGCTATAAAAAAAAATAACGCCCAGTCCCCACAGCCTTCCTATGCCACATGCCATGTGGCACAGGAATTGGGGAAAGGGATCAAAGCGATCTCCCAGCTTGGGATGGCTTGGGTCGGGCTTTCCTCCCTTTGCAAAGGCAGCGGAGCTGGGGAATCGCTTTGATCCCTTCCCCCTCCTTTCCTATGCCCAAGCCAGCCCCCAGCCCTGGGGATGGGATTCCCTTTGGGCAGGGTTTAGTAAGCTGCCAGAAGGGAAAATCCCTCTCTGCTTATGCCCCCAAGGAACAGCTGATCGGCGAGGGCATAAGCGGAGAGGGAACGAAGGGACAAATATAAAAGGGTTATAGTCATTGTTTCGTATTCATCGGGGTCTCTGGACTCCAAGAATATGAAGCAACGAATATCTGATGAATCAGGGATATTTGTTGAATATCCTGATTCATTTTTATATTCGTCCCCATGTCTAGTTCTGACTTGACGGCACAGAACACACAACACAAGCTGGGGAAGAACAAAAACTGAGGAGAAATCATCCATGAACTAGTGGCCTGAAGGAATGTCTAAACATTTCAAGAATGGGGATCTAAATTTCTGATTACTATCACTAGTGTTCCTCTCCCACTCCTCTTTTTAAACTCTCTCTCTCCGCGTGTGTTTCTGTCTGTCTGTGGAAGGATGCTACATAATTTGTAGAAACTTTTCTGGATCACTGGTAGTGCTGAGAGAAATAACTGCTTCCAGGTGTGCTCCAGAGGCAGTAATCCCTCCCCACCCACCCTTGTTTCTGGGAGAATGATATCTTGCGACAAAGCCTGGACAGACAGCACTGTCCAACCTCATTAACTGATATTTTCAGCATCACATCAGGGAAAGCTTTACATGTTTTAAAAATATCAGTAGGAGACCACCTCCTAGTCTACAGAGCAATAACATGGCTCACTGAATGCAAGTGGAAAAATAATGGATTACCTAAGTGCTCCCGTTGTGGCTGAACGTGGTTGCCTCCGAAGTTTTAAGGCACGGAGTTTGTCTCCCTGGGTCATACCATTCTTAGTTTCTATTTCTGCATTGTCTTCCAAATCATTCTGGAAAGCAGGTGCAAATAAATGAAAGGCACCCCATATGGCATTGTATAATTTCATTTACAATGGCTACCATTTGACTCCCATCACTTTTCCTTCTGCCCTATTTGGGCTAGTGATAACTACTGATAGCCTAATGAAGAACTCACAACTTCATGCTAATGTTTTGAATGGTGTCCCTCCAAGAGATATTTATCACAACAGAAATGTTTAATATTGAAAAAGGAGAAAAGCTCTGCATCTATGAGACTAGAATTTAAAGGTTGAAGACTAAGAGATTCTAGAGATAAAAATAAACATACGCTGGCCTTTAATTAACTATGGACCGATCCTAGACCAGGTTTCCATGTGATACAAGCACTGAAAGAGCAATGCAGTACCATTATATGAGTAAAACAATATGCTCTTCTTCTCATTAATTTTCACAAGCTTTGTACTATTTATTATTAGTTTTTTTATTTATTATTCTAGTTTTCCACTAGAAATTGTATTCTAGGCAATTAATGGCAAAAGACAAATAAAACAGCAAGATTATAATTAAAACATCAAGAGTAATATCCAACACAGTCATCAGGGCTACAAAAGCAGCTAATACAGGCTATAAAGTAGAAAAACCACAATCCACCTGTCTCTCATACTTCCCCCATCTTAAAATCCTGCTCCAAAACAGTCAAAAAATCTCCAGGATAGGTTTCTGAATGGCTGCAGAGGGGAAATCTATATACTAAACATACTGATGCTACTACAAGCACTGAAATGTATTCCATGCCAAACCTCTTCAATGTAATAAATGAACAGCCAAATCAAAGAGAAATACAGTAATAATATAAAACAAGCAAATCACACAACCAAACAAAAGAGAAAGAAAGTCTAGTACCCAACAAATTAAATTAAAACTCACTTCAGCATTAAATCAATTTACATGCCAAAAAAGTCTATTGAATAGTATCTTTGTCTTCTAGAAGTACTTCCCAAAAAGATCCATTAAAGCAGTGGTCCCCAACCTTGGGTCTCCAGATGTTCTTGGACTACAACTCCCAGAAGCCTTCACCACCACTTCTGTTGGCCAGGATTTCTGGGAGTTGAAGTCCAAGAACATCTGGATGCCCAAGGTTGGGGACCACTGCATTAAAGGATTACTAATTAGTAATTAACATGCATTCCAGTTACTGTGCTGCTGTCATTCCAACTCTTTTCAAAGATGGTAGCCAGGGATGGTTCTTTAAGATGGTGATTACAAATCCTAACCTCTTCTGCAGGGCTGCCGTGAGGATTACCACACAATGATTTAAGAGAAGTGCACTGAATGCAGTGACTGAAACCCTGTAATAAATGCTAACCATTATATTCTGAAAGCCATTTAAGTACAGTACCTCCTTTCTAATTATCAGTATAGTTCATTGTATTGGAGCTCCTTTGGCTGTGAAACCAAAGACAGATCACCTAGAACAATGGTATCCACTTTGGATCCCCAGATGTTCTTGGACTAAAACTCCCAGAAGCCTTCCCTACTAGCTGTGCTGGCCAGGATTCTTGTAGTTCAAGAGTATCTGGGGATCCATGATTGGGAATCACTGCCCTCGGTAAAGGTTCCGCTTGACAATTTTTTGTCCAGTCATGTTCGCCTCTAGGGGGCGGTGCTCATCCCTGTTTCCAAGCCATAGAGCCAGCGTTTGTCCAAAGACAATCTTCCGTGCTCACATGGCCAGTGAGACTTAGACATGGAACACTGTTACCTTCCCACCGAGGTGGTCTCTATTTATCTACTTGCATTTGCATGCTTTCGAACCACTAGGTTGGTGGGAACTGGGACAAGTGATGGGCGCTCACTCCATCATATGGATTCGAATTTACAGCTGAAAGAGGCTTCTGCGGTTTAACCCGCAGCGCCACCACATTCCTTTCATCACTGCCCTAGAATGTGGCTAATGGGGCTAATGTCCTCTGACAACTCTGTAGTTTTGGGCAACGTGTAGAGTCCCAGAGCACCAGCAGGAGGAAGGACTGGTGAACCACTTCTGAGTATTTTATAGCTAAAAAACCTGGGGAGGGTTGCCACCAATTGGAATTAACCTGATGAAACATAGCTATTATTTCCGCTTAGGCATTGCAGACAATTCCAGTGTGATTTTTACCTCCCCATATTTATCCATGTTTTCCACTTTATTCCAAGTCCCACTGATAGAAATGTCTTCCAAGCCAGAAAGAACTCTGTTCACGCTATCTTCCTCTACTCCTCTTGGTTTCTGTTTGGATCGGAAGATGTCTCCTTGAACCCACAGCATGGGCTGCTTTCTGCTCAAAAGTAACAAAACCAAAATTAGTCCCAACAAAATGTTAAAGGTAGTGTAAAAACATGACTACTGATTAAATTATTTGTCCCACATACTGCAGCAAGAAAAATCACATACTACAGGGTCCAGAGCACAGACTTTCTATCTTTTTGGTGGGGAATATTTTTGTTTTAATGTACTTTAGACATTTGATCAGGGAAGTTCATTTTTACAAGAAATTTTTTTGTATAACATGTTTATATAAGTATTTACAAGCGCAGAGCTATTTTATAATTGACCCTTTATAACTGGAACGTTGCAACAATGCCCACAAAATAAATGGATTCTAGACAGGGAAGGCATATGTGATAACTAGACACACATAAATAGACCAAGTCTAATTAAAATAACCACAGAGACTATTTTGTGAATGTATTTGTAAAGAGCCTACACCTTTGATAAATTTAGCACCAATCAGACTTAGTATGCTTCTAAGTACTTTATACCTAGTTTTCTAGAAAGTAGCTAGAAAAGAGCTTTTGCCAAATGTTACTGATTTTCTTTATGAGCAGTTTTTTTCCTGCTGCTTTGCTTAGGGGGATAAAGTGTGGTAACTCTGGCAGTGGGCCAAAAGAAATAGCATTATCCACAGTCAGAGAAAGGCTCCCGTTGGGAGGTTACATAACTGGTGGACAGAGCAGGATTAGAAAGCTGAAAGAAGTATTCCTGCTTAGAGCGAAGAAGTTGATATCCAGTATAATTAAGAGCGATCTGAGATTACACTGCTGATGATGCAAGCCAAGTTAACTCTTGAAAGAACTCACTTCCAGCAACTCACATGTGTAAAGAGTAAGGGATAAACAAAGCAATGCTCTTGCAAATATCTACCTTCAAGCTTCTTAGATTTTCTTATTTAAAGATGTCAACAACTGATTTTCTTTTATTTCTGAAGATCTTTTAATATCTCCTAAACACAGAGTTGTTTGGTTGCTTTTGCTATTTTTTCCCCAGACTGCCTCCTAAACATCACAGCCACTAGTCAGGACCTATGTTTGCAAACAAGCCACCAGAACAGACGCGCTTTAGAATACAAATTAAAGTTTGCTCTTTCATATACACCGCTGGCAGTAACATTCACGAAAGCACTCCTCCACATTCAAAATGCTGTTCCTTTGTTTTATTCTTAAGCAACAAAGTTTCCTCAAACATGCAATTGTTGGTTAAACAATCAAGAGCAAGCAGTAAAGAAACAACAACAACTTTGCATTGACACAGACTTTGACCAGATGCATCGTCTTCATTAGAACTGGAAAACACCAGGGTACAAATTAGGAGATACCTTGCTTTATTTGAGGCCATCCCACAAACAGTGAGATGGTGATCACTTTGACATACACAAAATGAATCCCTAGAGTACTGTGGCAGCCACAACTGAGAAATTAACTCTTAAAGAGCCAATGGGCCACATGCCTTTGTTATCTTGTTTCTACAATAGTTGCCTTTCTGCAGTGATAGAAATGATCCTCAGAGATTTAAAGAACTCAGTCTGGTAATTTATGTATTCAGAAAGGGACACCAATATAAATATAGAGCATAATGTGAGAGGTTTTCCTAGTCTTCCAAAGCATTCAGGATATTTCCATGTCTACAGAGAGAGAAAGCATGAATGGAACTTTCCCCAACACTGAAAGGAAAATGTATTTCCTTTTGTATTTTAGAGCTCTGGACCATATAATATAACAATACACATGCTATTACAGAAATCCCAAACCCAGTGCCCTAGATATATGCACTCTCCGACTGGGCATGAGTGCTATTAGTCTAAGCCTTGTTTATTGGGAAGTTTTATGTTTTTGCCTATTACAAAGAGTCTTAAATGCTATCTCATACAGTATTAAGATGCTGAAAATGTGAGTCAGTATCACTAAGAGATCCAGATGTCAAGATATACAGCTTTCAAATCCCAGAATTAGGAGCAAATGCATTTCAAAACAAAGAATATCATTTTCACAGTAAAAAAGCCTAGCCTACATCAGTTTTATGTTCACTTGATCTGTAACTTGCAAGAACAGGAAATCCTCATAAAGCAACCAAGATAAATAATGTGATAAAATGCTAATATTTGTATTAAGAACTAATCTATTACAGTTCATTACATTGTATTAACTACAAAATGATGCCAACACCAAACATTTGAAGAGTGGAAATTCTAATGTTGAAACATCCACTTGTGATAAACCTGCTATGATTGTTCATCTCTGGCTTTTAAACTTGTGACCTTTAGCAAAGAGGATAAATACTCAAACCTCTTCCTCAGCCGATTTGCCAATCTGCTCATGTTTTCTTTCCAGTAAATTAAATCCCTACATTTTGTCTCGCTAAAATCAGTATGATCACAAATGGGTATACAGTATACGCATTATATTCCGGTAACCTGGCATGACTTTAAAAACACAACAATTTTGCAAATTAACTGTATACATCCATGTGACTTACTACTCTTCCCGCCTAATTGCTGTTGAGCTAGAAAGAGAGTGACTCATTTTCAGGGAAAGTGGCTGTGAAGGTTATGACACTAACCTGTACCTTGTAACTTTGAGCCTAGCCACAGCGGGAGAGAAAAGTATTTACAGGAATTTGAGGGACAGAAAGGAACTGCATAGTGGTATACTAGCATAACTCAAACACACTATGTTACAGTGTGTGTCACTACAACATAGTGGATCCACTCAAATTCCAGGAGAAAAAGCACTGATACACATGACCCAAATAAATGAAAATACATCACTGAAACCATGTTCCATGATGTCCTGACAAGGAAACGTCTTCTTAAAGTATATACTGAGAGTTCCCCCATGACAGCATTGGCCCAATATCTGAAGCGAATGATGCTCGTACTGAAAAGCAACTTGCAAATCATTCTACTAAAGTTCTCACATTATCTTTATTCTGATTTTCTTCTCCTCCAGGTCAAATACTTGTTTAGTTATTGCAATTAGCATGCTTCATTTAAAAACATTATTTATTTAAAATATTTTAAAATATTTTACTTTGCCTTCCTCCTAAAAAAGGACCCAAGGTGGCTTATATCATATTTTTATATATATCGTGTGTGTGTGTGTGTGTAGTGCGTGTGTGTGTATACACGAGCTAAAAGCAATGTTATTCAAATATTAAGAGTCAAACAAACAATCCTATTAAAATACTAGATAAAATCATTATTAAAACATATTTAAAACAAAAGTCCAAACAATCCCATTTTTAAAAACTTCAGTTAGACAGGCAGTCATTAAGGGAAAGCCTGCCTGAAGAGGAAGGCCTTTATCTGCTTGCAGAAGGACAACAAAGATGGGGCCGGTCTGGCCTCTTGTAGGAGGGAGTTCCAAAGTCTGGAAGCAGCAGCACAGAAGGCCCTTTCCTGTGAGAGTAGTGGGACTAAGAGAAAGGCCTCCTCTGGTTATCCAAAAACCCGGGCAGGCTCATAAAGGGAGATGTGATTTTTGAAACAGCTTGTAGGGCTTTGAATTGTGCCTGGAAACAGCAGCAGTCAGTGGAGCTGCTGTAATGGGGTTACTGTATTATGATCTTCAACCCAAGTTAATAATCTGGCTGCAGTGTTTGGGATCTGCTGAAGTTTTCAAAAACATTCCAAAAGCAGCTCCATGTAGAGTTACCGTAATCCAATTGGGGTGGGTGGGAGGTAAGCAAGGCTTGTGTCACTGTGGTGTATTTGCTGACTGCCCTCTGCATACAAACAGTTTGGCTGTGCTAGCTTTCAAAGATGAGAGAGAAAATCATCCTTAGAATATGTGTATCAAGTTTCATTGCTCCCAAGAAACTGCAAAATGCTGAAGAAATGCTAGTACATGCGTTGCACATGGTTTCATTCCTCAAGGTTTTCTGTGGGGAGCTTTTTCTCAACATGCTTTAGTACTTGCTCTCTTCTTGGGTATGTATACAGACACACCAAGGCTACTCCTTCAGCATACTTCATTCCCATCCACCTCCAATCCTGGGTTTTCCTGGCAAAATGACAGTGTGCAGAGGATGTAATTCGACAGCACAGTGAAGGGCAGAAAACAAGGTTTAAAAAGTAGCCACTCCAAATGGAAGTCTAAGCAAGTCTGGAATGAGCAATAGTTTGCTAACTTTAAGCCAGGATATAAGGGAAGATGGTTCCAGGTGAAGGGGGCTTCTCGACTAAAATAAATACATAAATTAAAGGGTTTTTTTAAAGCTCCTTTTCGAAAAACTCAGAACACACAGAATTAAAAACCTGTATAAAATTGAAGCGCAGAACCATGTACTCATCTATAAGCCCTGAGCTATGGATTGCACTGCCTGTGTTATCTATCTTCTGCAAGGAATATGACATGTAAATATGCAGGATACATATCCATCAAAGAGGAGAATTATAGCAGTATGATGCCAAGGGAGAACCAAGTATTTTATTCCCCTACATCTCCCCACCAGCAAAAATGTTCAGCTGCCACTGTGATGTCACTATCACTACCACATATCTCTTAATGCAATACAGTTGCGTCAGTTTCTTCCAGCTGCCATCTAAAATAGACAGTCTCACTACACACACACACACACACACACACACACACACACACAGCTTCGTCTTAAAGAATTCCAAGAAAGCCAGCATATAATCAGGCCTTTACGTAAGATATTCACTAAGACAGGGAAAAGCATATGGTTTAGACCACTGAATTCATTAAAAGTGTTGTACTTACTCTTCCAGAAAATGCTGCTGAGGTCCAATAATAGAACCTGGGCGACATATTCGTACCCAAGCAATCGCTTCAGAATGTGTGAATCTGTAATGTTTCATTATATAACAGGCTATCAGTGTTCCCGTTCTTCCTAGCCCAGCTACAGTTAAGGGAAACAAAACCAAACACTGACCTTAAGGATTAAGTACATACCTTTAAAAATGCTACATATTCCATAAAATTGCTTTCTTGTCTCATGACTTTTCAAAATAACACAAAATGAGTCTATTTTAAGCACCATGGGCCTGTCATATTACAAACATCCTGTTAGATCCCACGGAGCCTTGTTAATGCCTGTCTTAACCTCCAGTACCCTTTCTATTCCTGCTCTGGATAAAGCAGAACATGCAATTGCATGATCTATGGAACAAAGATACAGTGCTTTGTCACACTAGGTAAATCAAAGGCACATGTAAACGTGGAACTACCACTGATAAGTGAAATTGCACCCCTTGTTATGCTCTTCCTCTCTCCCTTTTAATGTGCAGGCTCACTTCCACTGCGTGAAGATTTCACGATAGAAAATAAAAAGCACACACTCATAGCTGGAACTGGTGTGCAGGACGACTTGACCCTACATACATCCACTGCATTTCTGTATTGTTTCTACTCCATGGTTTCCCAATATTTCAGTCTCTCTAGAAAGGTGCTTCTTGTGGAATAGTTTCTGAGACAGGCAACGCCCCTCACCTCTGTTATCTAAGTACTATGTCCTCATGCTTATGCATTAGGTCCTTTCAGGCTGGCAGCAAGACCATGACTGAGTGTTGCATAGGAAGAAACATCTCTGAAACCAAGCCAATTCTCAGTTAAGGCAGTACTTTTTGCTTACAGCAGAGTTAATTTGCTGGGCCAGGAGATACAGTGTGTGTGTGGGGGGTCCTGCCAGCTTCAGAGACTGCAGAGGAAACAACCGATGGCTTCATGTGAACCCAGGCTGTGCCACTCCGGTTCTAGAAGAAAACAGACCTTTACATATTCTTCTCTCTTGCCTTAGAAAAAGGACAGGAAGAATGTGACTGGGGTTGCTTGTGGACAGGAATTTTTATTGCCATCCCACTACCATAGGAATGGCATGTTCTGTATCCAAAAGGTCATTTTTAGGGCACTGATGATAAATCTTTATGACGAAAGAGGAGCAATTAAAGAGCAGCAACAGAATCATTCAGTGGTGTACATAGGGGCCTCCACAGGAACCAATGCCCAGTTTCCAAATGAAATTAGAACAGACAGTGTAATTCGGATTATTCCATCAACAGCTATTCCTTTCTTTTCAATCCAACTTAAGAGTACTGCTGAACTGCCAATTAGATTTCTACAACGTACCTTTACAGTGTACAGCAATGGCCCCTTCAGCTTCCTCACAGATACTCAAGAACTGTCTCAGTATGCTGTCACTCGGCGTGCTCCCATCTATGAAAAACAGGTCGTAGTGCTCAAACCCACCATCTGTGAATCGCTTGGCCTCATAAATCTTTTTGTTGAGTCTTACGACTGTTGTTACATTGTGCTTCCTGAAGTATGGGAAATAGGCTTCGGGAGCATGCAAAGGGTATCCTAGAATAAGGAGAGGAAGAATGCCTGGGTGTTGAAATGCCTCCCCAGAAGGTGCCGGGTTGCACAAACAACAAATATAACGCCACATATTCTTACAGCTTAAGAATGGATATATTGCTAATGTAATCAACACCTAAGATGCAAATAACACCAAGGAAGCCCATGCCATTCTACAAAGTTGACCATTCAAGAGCAGCAGTTAATAGACCTTTATTTAGAGTCACAAAATATGAATGATCATGGTTAATGTTGTGAGAAACTAGAGAACAGAAACAGCACAAGAGTATTAAAAACCTCATTTCCCCATTAATGGTAAATCCAGACAAAGCATTTCTACAGAATCCCTCTCACCGCTTTGAAAGGACTTAGTTAAATTGACTCAGTTGTCTGCACTGAAGAATATGCTTAAATGCTATTCCATTGTATTAGGGTGGAGAACATGTGACCCTCCAGATGTTGGACCTCCATCAGCCCTAGGCAGTGTAGCAACTGGTGCGGAATTCTGGGACTTTCAGGGCATTAGTGGGAGAGCCATGTGATCCCTACCACATAATTTATATACTGCCCCTCAATGTATGCTTTAATATAGCTTCTTTTTACAGTTCTAAACATAGTTTGGAAAAAATACCCTTTTGGACTAAAACTTCCAGAATCCTCTAGCTTGCTTGCCTGCCTGCCTCCTTGTTTATTTATTGGTTTGATTATTTATTTATTTAACTAACAAATTAACAAACTAACTACCCTGCCTTTCTCCCTGTAGAATTCAAGGCGGCTTACGAATGGTCCTAAAATACAAATATTAAAATATGACTGCTGTGTCAAGGTAAATTTACAGGCCTGAGCAGAATAAAGTATATTAATGAGCAGCCATAATGAACAGATGTGTAGAAACTGAGTCATGATGACTCAGCAGTGCTGAATCATGCATGATGCAAGACATAATATGATTAGACATAAGCAGATCTGTATATGTATATATAGTGGTGCCCTGCTTGACGATTACCCCGCTTGACACTGAAATCGCTTAATGATGCCTTTTTTGCGATCGCTATAGCGATCGCAAAACGATGATTCAATGGGTTTTTTTTGTTTTACGATGATTGGTTCCCTGCTTCGGGAACCGTTTTTTCGCTGGACGATGATTGAAAACAGCTGATCGGCGGGGCACAAAGTCGCTCCCTGCTGTTTTCAGGACCGATTCTTCGCTTTACAGGCATCGCAAAATGGCCACCCTATGGAGGATCTTCACAAAACGAGCAGGGATTTCCCCCATTGGAATGCACTGAACCGGTTTTCAATGCATTTCAATGGTGTTTTTTTTTCACTTGACGACGATATCGCTTAACAGCGATTTTCCTGGAACGGATTATTGTTGTCAAGCGAGGCACCACTGCATATGTGAAACTGTACAGTTGATGTATCTTCCTGCTCTGTGATGAATGCTACCTGTTATGCTGCCAGACTGAACTGCTGTAAATATCTTGTAAATACACGGTGGTGGTGGAGAAGCTGCTGGTGTGTGCATGAGTTACTCTGGACTATCTGGACTAATCAATACTCTGCTAAATCTGCTGTTTTTCCGCGTTTTCTCGCTAACATGCTGGTCAGGATGAACGAGGGATTTTGGGAGTCCAAAAAAGGAACTTTTTCAAGTTCTGTTTCTATGGGTAATAATGCAGGTGCTAGCATATCTTTCAACATAATAAAAACAATTTCATACCGAATACAAGAGTTTCAAAATTTCTGAAAATCCAAGATTAGTTTTCAGTAATAAATTGTCACTTGATCTTAAGCCATGCATTGTTTTACTAAGCTGAAATGAAACTTGTTCTTCTGACAAAAAACATACAGTTTGATAATTACAGAAATGACACATTACCCTTTGTACATTGGACTTTTTAAAAAACTCTCATTATTTTTAGCCATTACCTAAAATAGATACTAATTTTGGCAACTTATGATTTCTACATAGGTTCTCATTTTAGATTAGAATTTTAGAACATTTTATTCATTAAGTTCTTCATTTGCCTTGTAAGGTGGTCCTGTTTCCACAAGAGAGATTATGTAGGGAAGCAGATCATTCAGATGTATCCTTGGCATTAGAAGCTCCTCACTGATGCTAAATACATTATCTTTTACCACCTATTTCCAAACTACACAAAATTCTTCCAAATATAACCTCTAGAAAGCTCACAGCTACAGAAGACTGTTGTCCACTTACGAATATGGTCATACAGCAGAATTACAGAATAATGAAATTGGAAGGGGCCTATAAAACATCAAATCCAAACCCCTGCACAATGCAGGAATCCAAATCAAAGTACTCGTATATCTGATAGGTGGCTGTTTGATTTTTCTCTTGAATGCTTCTCACACTGGAGCACTCACCACCTTCTGAGGTAACTGGTTCCACTGCTGTACAGCATTCCTACCATTTACTAGGGAGGCTACCTGATCAAAAAATGGTCCCATTACCCTTCTACTTTTATTATGTTATAGCCCTTACAAATATCAAGTTTTCATAAATTGCAAGTTTTCCTCTGAATTTATTACTGCTTTATGCCATCAAGCTGCTTCAGAGTTATGGCGACCATATAAATTAGTGATCTCTAGAAGATCCACCATCCCTAACAGCCCTGCTCAGGTCTTGCAACTCAAGGTCAACCTCATATTTAGTCGTCTTCTCCTACTCAGGAAAACTCTCCAAAAGCTCTTGAAAGCACTACAGAAATGCTTCTGTGTTTGGGGCCTTTATCTACATAGTACCTACAAATACCTCCAGAAGTTGCAGCCTCACCTTAGCACGAAGAACTACAGACAGGGGACCAAATGCTGTATTTTGTATACTTACTGCTTCAGTGAACATACATGATTTTGAGAATATAGTCAAAGATTGTGTGTTACATACTGTATCAAGGTGGAATCAACTTACAAGAACCCTTTTCAGGCCTTCACAAGGGGAAATATTTAAGGAGTAGTTTTACCAATTTCACTTCCCGCAGTGAGCAGGAATTCAAATCCAGATCTAGTCTGTCAGGCTATCCACTATTACACCACACTGGGTATCATGCTATCAAGGACTAGCCACATGAAACACATTCAAAATTGCACTGAAACAAGGAGGAAAAAAAACCTGTACCATTTTCAATCTTGGTCTTTGGATGTGGTCCACTAAATGCTAAAAACTTCCCAGGGACAATCCAGTTGAAGTCACCATTTTCTACTCGCTATTGAAAAGAAAAGCAAAAAATAAAAAAAGTTTTTAAAAATTATTCAGAACATTTTTGATCAGTTTTTAGCTCACAAAGGGTAACTGCAGTAACATTACACAATTTACCTTCTGGGCATTCCCTTGAGAAAGGTTTTTTAAAAAAGTTTTTCAATGTTTATCCAAAGTCCTTCTGCTGGGACCACATAAGCATCTCAATCTGTTTAGCTCTACTGATGAATCATCATTATGGGTTGGCAGACAATTATTCTCCTTACTGTATTCAGAAAGGCAATGGAAGTCAGCCACATAATTAAGGCTTACAAAACTAATCTTTAAAGGAAGACAAAATTAAAACTAATTAACTGTGATATATCTTCATGTGGTAAACAACAGCTTCCTGCACATGCAAAATTGCTGTCAGACCAACTATTACTCTATGAATCATCCCCTCATTATGTCAAGCAATGTACTATGAAGAACCATTGTATGTAAGCTGGAATCATTGGGAGCGATCCAAAAGGATTTGCTCTTTTCACAGGAGTTTCCACACACAGAATAGGTCATCTCCTGGAAGCAATTCTCTTTCCATGAAAACAGCAACAACACTGCACTCCACTTGTCTCTAATAGCTTCTCCTTTAACTTTTTCAGCCCAGATATAGTAAGTATAAATTTCCACTGAAGCCTGAATTCATGTGTAAGAAAATCCTAGACACCCACATGGGGGAAAAAAGCATAAGTTCAACAGGGATTGGGAGAATATATGCATAATATTGAAGTGGTAGGCTATGACTCCACTGTGTAGCACTGAAGCCTGAATTCATGTAAGAAAATCCTAGATACCCACATGGGGGAAAAGCATAAGTTCAACAGGGATTGGGAAAACATATGCATCATACTGAAGTGGTAGGCTATGACTCCACTGTGTATACTGCATGCATTTCTCAACTCTTATGGAGTCAGCTATCCTTTGTTATTTATTAGAAATTCCCTGTTCCTCTTCATTTTCATTAAAATAGAGCTTAGAAAAATTACATTTCTGGACAAACACAAGTATTCAAGTATTTTTAAGAACAAAAGGTTTATTTCAATACGAGCTCTCATGGACAGCAATGCACTTCCTCAACCACTAGATAGGTAAAGATGCTTTTGTTTGGACACAACTTTCAGCATCCCTCTAGAGAGCATGGCCATGACAGAAAAAATATTATGTCTGAACACACATTTTTGTGTTTATGATGATTTTAGCATTTACACTGAATTATTTTGTTTTTAAAATGTGTGAACTTTCCTGTACTTACAAACACCTCCAAAATCATTACAAAGTGCAATGCCTAAATTATCCCTTTTCCCTAGAGACAGAAGGGTTTGTTTGCCCTTCACAAAACAAGTATTCACTGCTCTCTGTGTGTCTTTTACTGTTTTTAATAAAGGGTAAAAGACTGTGGGATCTAATGACACCTTCCCTCCCATTAATTATGTGTTAGGTTATATTTCTGCAACTTAATACCCATTTTAAGCTGAGGTCATTTTGACATCAAGTCATATCTTTATTTCCAGCTAGGTTTTCCATTAGATCCCAAAAGGATTACTTTCACAGGTCTGCCAAAAGGAGGCTGCTACTGTCAAAATAAATAATGGAGAGACATCAATTAGGTCTTTCACATCCCATCTATGGTACTTTATGGTAGTTGAGAGAGAGGGAGAAACATGATCTCAAAAGATCCTATACTTTGCTCTGCATTATCCTTCTTAATATGTAGGAGCTCAGCTGAAAAGAGTCCTAATTTTAAATAACTATAAGAAGATGGTAGAGCAAAGAAGAGAAATTAATTCCACATAATTCTTTTGAATTCTGTTAAAACAAAGCCTAGAAAAGATGTGCTATTCCTGTAAGGACCAGTTTCTTAACCAAGTTATATCAAAAGTTAGTATTTAACAAGCAGTGCAAGGGAGTCATACAATAATTATTAATCTACCTATCTACCCATCATTTTTCGTGCTGGAAAAATGATGGCGCGTGCACAAAATACACAGTGCTCAAGTGTTATTTTCAAACAATATTTCTGATTTAAGACATACAAAGCACCAGGGATGAGGACACATGGCTAACAAGTTCCTGTTGAGTCAAACTTGAGTTGTACTGGCAAACTGACTCAGATTCAACTTGGAAGGATTGGGACTGAACTTGTGACTCGGACCCATTTGTCCGAGTCATGTTGTTAAGTCCCTCCTTACGGGCCCCCCACCACTATCAGCCTACCTGCCGCCACCACCACCTTCAGAGACAGTGGGCCAACTTCCACTCCCGCAGCTGCCTCCTCCCAACCATGTGCCAACCAGCCGATAGGCCGGCAGACACCCAGCATCAAGGAAAGGTTACCCCTGGCTTTTTGATTCATTTTGCCAAAGAAAACATCATTTGCCAAATGACAATTTATCTGGACTATGTATTTATCTATCTTTGCCAGCTGAAAATCTTTGAGTGCTCTAGGCTGCTTCTGAAAGACTGTCAGTGTTAATTCCCAAACCAAATAAACTGCACAAAACTGTAAATTGCAAATTGTGATAATGAGGCCACCAGTGTTCCTTTTAACACTTCTAACTATATTAGGAATCTTTCAAATAGTTTCAAGGCTCTAAGTATGTCTTTGCCTTTACACTTTTATTATGAAGAAAATTGTAAAACAGTTGATCCATTAACCATGTGCCAATTATACACAGAGCCTCCTGATCAGGAAAAACTCACAGCACTTAGCAATCCAGATACAGTTGTGTCTCATAAATGTCACACTCAAACTGGGCCTAATGTGTCTGTTCAAAAGATGCACATACCTCATAGTGCTCGTATTCATCTACATCAAATGTCTTGAAGTCAACAAATCCATGCTGTAAGGCCTAGGGGAAGAAAGATATCAATAAAATAAAATAAAATAAAATAACATCTACATCAAATGTCTTGAAGTCAACAAATCCATGCTGTAAGGCCTAGGGGGGAAAAAGATATCAATAAAATAAAATAAAAAAATTAGTTCTACAGTTATTTTTTTCTTCCTGTTTTAGATATTTGCAATACAAATTTTATATCCTATATGGATGCAATGTTTGCCACAATGTACATTCCACATTCTGTTTTGTTTCATACTATACTATTTTTGGTACTGGCCTTCAACTGTAATAAAGTACATTTAATGTCAAGTTATCGTGCAACATCCAAAGATGCTAAGCATTTGAATTAACCACCTGCCATTTTACATCTTTATAGAGATAGAAATTTTGCATATTTAACAAGACAGGTGGGTCCTGACTAAAACCGCCCCAAAATGTGGGGGAAGGGCTTCAGATGCTTCCTCTAGAGCTACCAGCCACCTTGTCTTATAATATGTATGCTGTATTTGAAAAGACTCCACACAATATCTCCTAGCTCTCTGTTTTGCTCTTATTACTTCAAGGCAGAGATAGGCACTTACCGTAGTTCAGTGTGATTTGGCTGATCAGGCCCACAGATGTTGTGCAAGTACTGCAGATGCCATGCTCCACCTCCTCCTGCAGGCACCCCATCACAGGTAGTGCTGCAGGCTTCCCTCAGAGGGCACCCATAGGAAGAGGTGGGGCATGGAATTCAGGGCGCCTGCAATCTGTGGGTTCAATCAGCTAAACTGCACTGACCTTCTGAAAGTGTCTGTCTCTAATTAAAGGACTACAAATATGTAGTCCCTCCATGAGGGAACCCATTCTCCCTCAAAGTACCGTATTTTTCGCACCATAAGACGCACTTTTCCCCCACAAAACGGGGGTGGAAAGTCTGTGCGTCTTATGGAGCGAAGAAAACATTATATTTTCCTGTTTTCTTCTCCTAAAAATTGGTGCGTCTTATGGAAAGGTGTGTCTTATGGAGCGAAAAATACGGTAATTTTCCTTCTTGAAGGACCAACTCTCAACCCATAAGCCAAGACCGCATGGAAAATGTTTCCATGAAACTGTATGAGGAAGGAAACGAAGAACTATGATACCATACCTCTTGCTCCTAGGAGGTAATGTAATGGCATTTACCATGACGACTATGACTATAAGCTTCAAGTTGACAAAGCAAGTTAGCTGGCAGACCAGGGTCACTTACATGTGAAGGAAGACTCATCACTGAGGGTCAGCACTATGTGGTAAGTCTGAATTATAGGATCATCAAGTGTTCAAAATAACCCATTGCTAAGAACTAGCCCTAGAGCATTTTTGTTGTTTGCATTACCTTTTTTATTCCTTGCAGGCAGTCCAGAATAGTTAGGTTATATGTACAGTTCCCAAATGATGCATCCCTACAAAGAGAATGTTATGACAAATGAATACAAAACATTGATATACATCAGGGGTGGGCAATTAATTTCTACAGGGGGGGCCACATGAAAAATCTGAACTGTGTTTGGGGCCAAACAAACTTTACTTAAAATTAAAATGAAAAAATGGTGTTATGATTGTTTTTCTTTTAAACTTGTTAATATTCACAAATATTAAAGGCCGCATTTTGCCCAGGTCTGATATACATGGTCCCAAAAGGTGGCAGAAAATAGTATACATTTCAGCTGTGAAAAGTTAAATCTCAGCATTTAATTAATTACCGTTTCGCGGGCTGTATGTGGCTCTCAGGCTGCATTTTGCCCAGGTCTGATATACATGGTCCCAAAAGGTGGCAGAAAATAGTATACATTTCAGCTGTGAAAAGTTAAATCTCAGCATTTAATTAATTACCGTATTTTTTGCTCCATAAGACGCACTTCCCCCAAAAAAAATGTGGGGGGGGAGTCTGTGTGTCTTATGGAGCGAAGGTGGCGATTTCGCCCCCTCTGACCCTCCAGGGGGGAAGGGTGAGTCTCTAAAGGGTCCTGGAACACAGCCTAGGACCCTTTAGAGATTCACCCTGCCCCCTGGGGGTCAGGGGGCAAAATCGCCACCTTGCGGGACTCTTTTGAGGCTTGGGAAGCCTCAGAAGAGTCCCAGAAGGTAGCGATTTCGCCCCCTCTGACCCTCCAGGGGGGAAGGGTGAGTCTCTAAAGGGTCCTGGAACACAGCCTAGGACCCTTTAGAGATTCACCCTGCCCCCTGGGGGTCAGGGGGCAAAATCGCCACCTTGCGGGACTCTTTTGAGGCTTGGGAAGCCTCAGAAGAGTCCCAGAAGGTAGCGATTTCGCCCCCTCTGACCCTCCAGGGGGGAAGGGTGAGTCTCTAAAGGGTCCTGGAACACAGCCTAGGACCCTTTAGAGATTCACCCTGCCCCCCGGGGGTCAGAGGGGGCGAAATCGCCAGCTTCTAGGACTTTTTCTAAGTCTTTCAAGCCTCAGAAAAGGTCCAAGAAGCTGGCAATTTTGCCCGCGCTGGCCCCGTAGGGGGTTGGGGGGAGCGGCGCAATAGTCCGAGTGAGCCTTCCAGCAGCCTTGCACCGCTCCTGGAACACACCCTAGGACCCTTTAGAGATTCACCCTGCCCCCTGGGGGTCAGGGGGCAAAATCGCCACCTTGCGGGACTCTTTTGAGGCTTGGGAAGCTTCAGGGGCGAAATGGCCACCTTGTGGGACTCTTTTGAGGCTTGGGAAGCTTCAGAAGAGTCCCAGAAGCTGGCGATTTCGCCCCCTCTGGCCTCCGGGGGGGGCTGGGTGAGCCTCCAAAGGGTCCTAGGGTGTGTTCCATAAGACGGACCTCTCCATAAGGCTCACCAATTTTTAGGAGAAGAAAATAGATTTTTTTCCTGTTTTCTTCTCCTAAAAATTTTGTGTGTCTTATGGAGTGGTGCGTCTTATGGAGCGAAAAATACGGTATTTTTTTTAAATTTACAAACCTCTTTTCATTCAAAATAGGGTTCAGAAAATTACGTATAACATTTTAAAAGAACAAACATAACATTAAAAGCCATAGAATTAGAAATCAGTAGCAATGAAACTTTTCAAAACATTCTGATGATTGCACCCATGCACCCATGTAGATACAGCTCTCTTTTACTAACTGAATATACTTTTGTTCATTTATAAAGTTAACAGGATGAACTTTAAAATGGTAATAAATGATTTTTTAATGTGGCAAAGCTTTGTGCTCTGAGTAATTTGATTTGATTCATACTTATTGGATTATTTCTATAGCCACTTTTCACATGTACTTTTACAACGAATATGATTAATAAATGCCTTCACAGGTTAGATGAGAGGAGGAATGGCTCAAATGAAAGGAAAAGTGGCAGAAAAAGAGCATAGGTAGAACTCAAACTGAATTTTCTTTCAGACTTACACTCAAGTACCTTTACTGGGGTTAACAATTATTTTAATGCTTTGTCTACTTTATAAAACCTAGTAACATTTGCAGATACTATTTTCTCAGAACAAGCAACACATCCGACCACTGAAAGTGAAAAAAAGTTGCTAGTTCTACTTGGAGGAGACCTTGTGAATGAATAAGACTTGTTAAGTTAACATGGATGTTAAGTCACATTAGCTGAAATCCTGTTTATGCAGCTACACTGAAGGATGAATTTACCATCAGTGGCGATTTTCAGAAATGAAGGACTCTTCTGTCCCACGGCTCTTGATGGCTTCCCCAAGAGAAAAGGATTTTACAGGAGTATCGGAACTTCTGGAGGGGGTGGGGGTAGGATCAGGAATATTTTATTTCTGAAAAATTGGCATAGCATAGCTTCAGGAACATGATTTCAGCCACTGATTTAAAATGTCTGCTCTAGTTGGGACTAGTAAATGAATTTAGCCCAATGAAATAAGATTACAGTTCTCTATTATATCAGTCAAAAATACTTAGAAATATAAGAGCTTATGCAAAACAACAAAGTACCGTGTTTTCCAAAAAAATAAGACAGGGTCTAATATTAATTTTTGCTTCAAAAATGCATTAGGGCTTATTTTCAGGGGATGTTTTATTTTTTTCATGTACAGCAATCTACATTTATTCAAATAGAGCCATGTCATCTTCTTCTGTTTGCTGCACAATGGTGGAGGTCAGGCTTTCACTTAACTAGGGCTTATTTTTGGAGTAGGGCTTATATTAGAAGCATCCTGAAAAATCATACTAGGGCTTATTTTCAGGTTAGGTCTTATTTTTGGGGAAACAGGGTAACACTTACCACTACCTCACTTAAAACAGCGCAATTACCAGCACATTTGAACTTAAATTAATAAATATCTTTATTCAAAACAGATATTACACAGACCTTGTATTTAAACATTATTTTTATGAATTTAAGGTAGGAATTATTGTATTGCAAGGAACTAAGGATACACTAGAGATAGTAGTTTTAGCTGTACTGCAACAGACTGGTGTGAACAGCTAGGAGAATAATCCGCATACAAATCCCGTTTCAATACTCTGCAATGTGTCTCACTATAAGTACTCCTTCACATGTGCATGTGTCAAGATCCCCATCTATTAAGCTTACTTTCAAATAACATGAAATATATGGTTTACTTTTTTATGTTACAGAGTAAGTATTAAGAAAAAATTAATGGGAAATCTGGACTGCACATTGTGGTATAATACCTGAAGCCCATTATTATTATTTTGTAAAAAGCATTTAAAACAAATCAGTATTAAAATATATGTAGCATTTATTTGGAGTTTTATCCAAAGAACAAAAATCAGACTTTTGTAATTTATTATATGGCTAATAAAGTATTAGTACAACTTGCAAAGAATTCTGGGTTGGAAATTCTGCATGGGAAAAGTCAGAATGACAACATGACCTCCTGTGCTTTGAGAGTGAAAACCTAAATATAGACATTTGTTTAATAATTCACAATTTCCTGGAAATGTAGTGTTTGAGGCAGTCTGGTCAGAAAAATGAGCAACAACAAAAACACAGATGAGGCATTAGATTTTAACAAGAAAATACAGACACGCTAAGAGAATTAAGTTATATTTCAACCACATCAATAACTAAAGTTTTAAAGGTGCTAAGATTGAACAGGAGTTTGGATTAATCACTGTTTGAATTCTACATGCCATGCAGGACCCCAGATGTGCATGGATAGATTCTACTAACTGGATAAGGGAAAAATACCCCATGTGCATCCTCAGACATACTCTAGTAACTCATACGCTGAGACTGTCATTCAAACAAGGATCTAAATCCAGTGCTGCACTGCATTTTATCATGCCCCCTCCATAACCACAGCATTAATTTTTAACATATAAATATGCAGATTAGCCTCTGCAGGACACACATTCCTTCAGCCCTGTCCCATCAGGAGTGTGGCGTTTAGGCTTCTGGTAAATGTTTGACCCTACTGAGGTTGCTCATCTCAGCTCTAGAGTATTCAGTTTTGTCCAAAGTACTGTGACAAGAGAGCCCTCGTAGTTATTCCTCGATTAGAAATTAGAGATGTCAGTCACAAAATTACACTTTTTCTCCTCTCCTTGTCCTATAGATGGGGAGATACCAATTTTAACTATGGTTCTCGAAATCTCTTTTGAATCTCAGGGAAGACTCTGATTTTCTCTGACAGACTTTTGATTACCCTTTCTTTTGTTCCTGAATCTGTCCAGACCAATTTGATTTAGCTTAGATCGATCTGAACACACACACTCCTTGTTTTTACAGAGGGTAAATGTGATCAGCTTTACAACCAAAAATATAGGAAGGGGTGGGCGACAACAAAAGTAGTTTTAGCTGACTCCCTTAACTCTTGGCCACTAAGAGTCACAAAAACAGCTTGCAAATCAACAGTGAGGGAACTAACATTTTATTTGTATTCTGCCCATCTGGCTACAAGGCCACTCTGGGCGGTTCACAGCAAAACAATACAACAATAACAACCTTAAATACCCTGTTTCCCTGAAAATAAGCCCTAACCTGAAAATAAACCCTAGTATGATTTTTCAGGATGCTCGTAATATAAGCCCTACTCCAAAAATAAGCCCTAGTTAAGCGAAAGCCTGCCCTCCACCATTGTGCAGCAACCAGAAGAAGATGGCATGACTGTATTTGAATAAACGTAGATTGCTGTACATGAAAAAAATTAAAACATCCCCTGAAAATGAGCCCTAATGTATTTTGGAGCAAAAATTAATATAAGACCCTGTCTTATTTTCAGAGAAACAATCCTCTAAGTACATAAACATCACAATATTATAAAAATAAGCAATAAACATATACTAATAATTGAAATTGAATATATATAATATATAATATGAAGGTAGCCTCCCAATCCCTGGAAACTTTTGTCCACTGCTGTTACAGGAATCATGGCCTTGAAATCACCTTTCTTTCCTTTTGAATCAGAGACCAGCACGTTCTGACAAGCCCAGAATGTCTGTGGTCAAACTTA